TCATCTACTGCTCGTCAAGACTTCATCTCCTCTGCCCGCGGCGGTCCACGCCAACTACACGAGCTTCACCCCTGTCTTTCCTCCTATTTCTCTTCAACGCTCTTCGGCATGCGCTGCCTTTTTCCCTGCTCATCCGGCGCGCGGCCAACCTTCGCTCCACAGAAGCCTGCCGCTGGACTTTGACAAGTTTTCGGACAAGCTACCAACGCTACAGATTCCCGCCTGATCTGGATTCTTATATCTCCATTAAGCGACCCGATGTTTCGTTTCTGCAGATGATTCGTGTCCTTGCCAGGCGGCCCAACCAGCGACCCAGTCGGCCGACTAACATCGTCACCCATCTACATCTCGAGTACACTACCAGCACACCCCCCCACCTTCCCGTCAAGCCCTAAGCTTGGCCCGGCTTGACTTCAAGGACGTTGCAAACATGGAGAAAAGAAGCAATCAGCTAACACGTCTTGCTATTGGCGTCGCCTTTTGACCAGGGCCTTGAAGTGGAAAAAAACTGTCACAAACGAGACTGGTCGGGTCAGACCCTCCACTTGACCACAGTACATCCCGACGACCGCTTTCCGTGTAAGCCGCAGCAAGGAAGTCGCGTTGGTTCGGTGCAACTTGTCAGAGTATGGCAAGAGGAGGAGAAAATCTGCGCACGTTAAAGTTCATCCTTCGATTGTCGTCTATTTAAAGGTGCTTGCTCCTCCTTCTCTGGCCGACTATCCTCACCAACCTCATCAACTTCCTTCTCCATCGCGGCCCGCACAAGATTCCTTGTTGTCTCTTTGAGAGAATTGATTCATTCTTGCTTATATTTGCTGGTAAAGTCCCTCTCTTCACCAACTAATTTCCTCCCTGAGTCAATCTAACTTGACTGTCGAAGCTTGACCCAGCCCCGACTCTGCTCCGCTAGCCATCTTGGTGGCATCATAGACAACTCAGCCGCAGTGCGCAACATCCAACACCGCAATCATGTGCGTTTGGGTCCTTTCCCAGCAATGGACCGTCTGCGGTTGTACCGCCGAGGCCACTGAGCAGAAGCCTACCTGCAACTGCTCTACTGTGATCAGCAAGTCTACCCAGGTGTGGGAGGGTAAGTGTGGTCGTCCTGAGTGCCCCAAAAGCACTTAGACCCCGCGCGCTGCTCGAGCAATGGCCGTTTTGTACGTATCACTTGAATTTCTGCATTTCGTCTTACTGTAAACATGCGCTAACATAGTTTCAGCTGCGAAAACCGGTTCCAGTCCAGAAAGACAATATAAGCACCACATTCATAGACAGCCTCACGGCAAGCATGCCCCCATCCGGCACCAAACCACCAAACATGAGCATTGTCCTTCAAAAAGGATGATGCAGAATTTTGGTTGACACTTTCAATTCTCTACCATCTCTTGACCGATTTTCCGCCACGGTACCCAGTTTATATCTTCTGCATTTGCAAGATGTCCTCTAGCCTCTTTACGTCACCACCTGTCAGACACTCCTTTTATCGGCCCTGATTTCTTAATCCGCTCGTTGTTATTTCTTCCTATTTATGTTCTGTCTACTATTCTTTACTTTCGTTTATTTCTTTGTCTACTTATTTTCCTTATTATTTCCTTATTATTTCCTTACCTCTTGCTTATTCGAACCTCAACCCGTTTCTCATTATGATTGGGGAAGTATCGAACAGAGAGGGCCGCAGTCACTAGTTGGCGTGTAGCCCTGGCTCCAAGCAAAGCAATTCGTGGGTCGAATAGTCAGTCGGCGACGGGCTAGCACAATCCTTTGATAAAAATGCAGTTATTTATTGTCTACTATTATTATGCCCGTGATTTACAAGTTTTTTGTGCGCGCAGGGTCTGAATGGCGTGCAGTTTGCGGGCGGAGCAGCATTGTTTGTCATTCAAGGTTGTGCACAGCGTCGCGGGAGGTCGAGCTGGCGGGCGTGTAAGACGTGAGGGGTCATTTTTGCTCCATCCCCGGTGTATCTCAAGTCAGTGTCTACCTAGTCGATTGGGGGCCATTTAGCCGTTGATTGGCAACTACCAACGGCAGACGATATGTTGTGTTACATGTTTGCGCCCAAGGTGGTGCGCCGGGCGCTCCGACCGATGCTTTTGTCGAACAAGGCGCAAGGTATCGGGCAACGGAAGTGCAGAGTACAGAGTACAAAGAAGCATCAGCATGGCCGCCCATCGAGCACATCCAAGCAGCGATACATGTACATGAGATGGAAGCGGCCCGCCATGCGACCACAGCGTGACACACAAACCGCATACCAAGTCATTATTTGCCAAACACGTCAACCCTCTTCGTATGTCAGTGCGTCAAACAGCATCCAGCATCGGACCGGACTGCCAATGGACGGGCAGAGGCGCCGAAGTCGCCTTGGGGCCTGTTATGCGACCAAGTGGGTTTGGGACTCACTGTCCACTGTCCACCGCGCTCATACGGCGAACAAACTGGAAAAAGAGAGGAGAGGAGAGGAGAGGAGAGGACAACTGTGGAAATGATATGCCCCATTTCTGCTGAAATATTCGAGATGGCTTATTGCCTATTCTTTGATGCTTGCTTTTGGTGCAGAGATGGTCGCAGATTGGCTCTTTGTCTTGCGCAGGTCAAGTCTTACCTAGTCATAGACCACACACAGAGAGACAGACATAAGGAAGCGCCTGACTCACAGAACAGAATGTGTCCACAGGGGCAGCTCACTCGACCGAAAAGAAGGCAAAGGAGGCGTGTAGCCGGTTGCCCCCCCCCCTTCTTCCGGGTGGTCCATACGGGAGAATGATGAATGGTGACTCTGCCTACCTCCACTAGCCTAGGCCAGGGGCTAAGACGTCACCTCGATTGTTTCCGTATCATCGTCACAGCACCTCGGCTATACCGACAAACTCAATAAGGCAAGAAGCGCGCCGCCCGTCCACCACGGACCGCGCGCTGGCGCGAGCAGGCGAGCCTCTTTCCGCCCTCCCAATAAGCAATGGGCCGCCCTTTCTCGGCGATGCCTAAGCTTCGGACCTCTCTCCTCCTTCTTTCATCTACTTCCGAATGCTTAACTAGCCAGCGTCACCGCTCCCAATTCCAATCCCGAATCCGGAGCTTTGTTCACACCCGCACTTGCATATATATGTACGTATGTACATGAAGCTCCCACAACGCCAGGGGAGGTTGCTTGGGGTTGGCTAACAAGCCAGTGGCCTAGTGCCATTAACCGCTGCACTTGCACTAGACGCAGACGACTCCTGAGTTGGCTGTATTTTGCTTCCCGGCGTCGCTCCTCACCCGTCCGTCCGCCTTTTACTTTCGCCTGCTCCTGCTGCCGCCGCCCCGTGTCCGCCATGCATCCACTGCTCATCATGTGATGGCCCAAGCAATACGCCAACATGGGGTTCCTTCCCCAATTTGGCCAGAACAACTTGACCCCAAGAACACGGAGGAAAATGTGATCTCAGCTTCTGCGAGTGGTGTTGGGCGGACCGTCTTTGTTCACTTCGTCGAGGGGCCCCGTCGACGAAAGGCCCAACTACCCTTCAAAACTGGCCGCCCGGTCACTTATCCCGGGCCTAACTCCGCTCACGCCCCCAAGAGGCCAGCTCATGCCAAGTTCCCGGGCGCGACAAAAGGTCCTCTGGCCCGGCTGTCGTTGGTACGCCTTATTGGGGGAGAGGCAGCGTATATCAGCACAAGCGACGTCGATCCCTCAACAGTAGGAAAGGGGAAGCCGGGCCGAAGATCCGTCTGTGTCTGTGTTCGTACTTTTCATGTTTCCGCCTTCTTTGTCGGCGACCTGCCTACATATAATGCGGTCGAGCGCACAAAGTTAATCAACCCTTGACGCCTTACAGGGCAGTCGCCCGCGTAGCTTGCCCTTGTCCGGCTGGGCTTTGCTGGGAACTCGTCCGACTTTCCCGCCCCTTTCTTCACCCGCCCACTTTCCTTCTACCACTACATTTGTGAGTTGCAGGCGGTTGGGCGGCAGCAGGCAACGAGACGACTGGCATCCTCCGTGATGAATGCGAAATCTTTTTTTTTTTTGGCTTCCAGAAAGCGTCGAAGACCGGTAACCACCTATAGTTTCAACAAAGTCTCGTCAATCGCCGGCCAAGCATGAAGCAATGTGGCAATTCTATGGGGGGCAGTCACAGGGAGCATGCATGGAGGCGATGGGACACGTTCCGTAACCTTGCATATGTACTATTTACTGCCGACCCAGAACTGACTAGATAAGAAAACCAAGATAAAGGTGACAGAAAGACCAAAAAAAGCATTGCAGAGAGCAAGAAACAATTTTTCGGGGTCCAATCTGGTTCTCGCTCGAAAGACGCTTCCCAGGCGCCAACAACAGCATCAGGTTTCACGCGCTTGCTCCGTGTCAAAGGCCAATCACCTCTTCATTTTTGCTTCGTAGATGAATCGTTCTCGTTCCTTTTGTTCTTTTTCTTCCTCGTCTCTTTCGACTCGGTAGGTGGAAAGGGAAAAACTCGTGTGTTCAAAAAATCTGTTTTGTAATCTTTCACTTTTTTTTGGTGATAAGGATTTGTGGTGATCCCCTCCCTTTTCTGCGTTCGCTATCAAAGTAGTGGTTTTCCTTCTCTCCCTCCCCTCTGCCCTCTTTTTTTCTCATAGTGTACATAAAACCAAAAAAAAAACAACGGAGGATTAATAGGGGGAGGGTGTGGAGAAAGAGGAGAGAGAAGAGCAAGAAAAGAAAACCATGGAAGAAGTAAAAACAAGAAAAAAAAACGAAATAAAAAATCTTGCCCCCGTGTCTGATTTTGCTTTGCAACGCCTTCGTGTCTCTCTCTCTCTCTCTCTGCCCCAGAGAGCTTCCTTCTCCCACGACTGATAAAATGCGAGCTTTCTCTAATGCAAAGGGGGCTTCGTTCTATGTAAAATACCATTCTCCTCTCCTCCAACATTCTTCCGTTTCCAAACAAACACATGACTCCTTTTGCCTGTGGGCGGGCTATATCTTTTTTTCTGGGGGATTATTGTATATGGTTGTCCATTTCCAATCACTCATTCTTCGGCGAGCTAGGTGAGTACTGGTTGCCACTTCCAGAATCTCCGCCAGAGCCTGAGGGGCCGGGCGTGCGAGGAGAGAACTGAGGCGACGTTGGAGAGTAACCGGGACTCGTCGGTGACAGCTGCTGACCAGGACTGCGTCCGAAGCTCGGGCTCGTCGGCGAGTAGGCGTCGGGTGACGTCGGTGACCACGAGGGCGACGCGGGCGAGTACGATGGCGAGGTGGCGCCGCCGTGCAGATTGGGGGATGCAGGGCTGTAGTTGGGACTGGCTGGGGAGTAGCTCGGAGACGTCGGCGAGTTGAACTGGGCTGGCGACGTCGGTGAGTAGTGTCGCGGCGAAGTCGGTGACGTCGGCGAGTAGCTGGGCGACGTTGGGCTGTAGTTCGGGCTGGCCGGGCTCGTCGGCCGCAGCATAGGCGACGTTGGCGAGAAAGACGGCGACGATGGGCTAAATGAAGGCGAGGTGGCGTAGCGAGCACCACCGTCCAGCATGGGCGACGTAGGTGAGTAGCCTGTGTTGGGCGAGGATGGCGAGTAGCCTCCCATACCCGAGCTGAATGGCGATGTCGGCGATGTGCTGAATGGACTGGTTGCACCGCGCGAGTACGGGCTCATAGAACCATTGGCACCGAAACCACCACCATACTCGGTATTGAAGCCAGTCGGTGTTTCTGACCCAGCACCCTGAATAGGAGAGAAGTTACCCGCAGCAGGAGAGGCCATGCTGAGGTAGCCAGAGTCACCCATCGGTGAGGCACTGTCGTACGGGGTGGCAGCACCCTCGCCCTCGCCATCTTTGGTGGGCATGCCAGGCATGAGACCCATGCGAGAGTTGTCTGAAATGACCGTCTCCAACATCTTGGGGTCCAGGTACACGTCAAAGTTGCCAGTACCCATTGGCGCAAGCTGACCAAGCATGACGTTTTCGGAGATACCACGGCAGTCGTCGAGTTCACCAGTCGCAGCAGCCTCGAGTAGAATCTCGACCGTCTCTTCAAAGGAACAACGCATCAGCGCACCAGTATCAGCGCGGTTGATACCATGACGAGTGACAGCCGAGATGACACCACGATAGGTCATAATATCGCAAAGAAGAGCAATATGACGATGGTTGACATACGAGGCGTCAAAGGCCAAAACGTTGGTCAATTCCTTGACAAGCGCGGATCGAACAGCCTCGACACCGAAGACCTCAGTAATCTGGTACAGGTCGTTACTGTAGGTTCTTCTGGGATCGACACCGGGGACAGCGAGCACCTCTCGGAGGGCTGAACCACTGGTATCCAGGTACCACTGCGTGCATTTCGGGTTATCCTTGAGAGCCAGCTCAGAGCCGTCGTCATCCTCAACCAGGCGGGTACCCTTGGTCAAGAATGCTCTCTCGATACCAGGGACACCGCGCAGAGTCATGGTATCAAGCAAGTGAGCCTCAAGACGCTTAAGCATAACATCGTCTTCAATCCTAGTGTCAGATTCTTCATCCTTACCGTCATCCTTGCGGATGGTACGGATACGGATGACTTGTTCCTCAGCGTTGTTGTCCGAGAAAATGATTGCCAAATCGTTAGCGTACTCCTCCTTAATGCATGCAGCAACATCATCAATCTTGATTCCCTTGTCCAGAAGTTTTTGGCGGTCAAGAGTGATACGGAGGAGCCAACGCGACTGTCGGTGGATGGTGTCTTGAGCATCATCGGGAATCATAAAGTACGATTCGACCATATCCACATCTTCGGCAATGTTGGTAGCTTGCACATCAGGGTCGTAGTAGATTTCGGTGACTGATGTGACAGAGCGCAGGTTGGTATATTCGACCAGACTACGGAGCTTCTTGGCCTGCTCCTGAGTGCCCAGCTTTGTGTCCAGGTAGACGGCCATGCTGGGGGTTTTGATATTCTTGGCCAAGTTGAGAATTTCCTTGAGACGCGGCACACCAAGAGTAACGTTCTTAGAAGACACACCAGCGAAGTGGAAAGTGTTGAGTGTCATCTGAGTAGCAGGCTCACCAATGGACTGCGCAGCAAGAACACCGACCATCTCGCCAGGGCTGACGAAGGCTCGGTCCCAGCGATTTTGGAGCTCGCCGACGACGTGGTCGAATGCAAGCTTGTTCAAGCGATGGACGTACACAATCTCTTTGAAGGCAAGACGAGAGCGCAAAAGTGCCTTGAAGAGAATGGTGGCATTGTAATCGGCCTCCAGCGAAATGGGATCGCTGCCGCGCACAATCTTCATGTTCGACAGCAGAGTCTGCACAGTAGTGATAACATCGGAGGGGCGAAGGTTGCTGCGGTCAGTCTCACGGATGTTAAAGACGCGCTTGGCACTCTCAATAATACGGCCGATGTTGAGAGGAAGCTGCATCATCTCTTCGCCCATCTTGGACTTGTTGATGTTGCGAACAGCGCGTCTGTCAGCAAGCAAGGCATCCCACTCCATGTCCAGCAATTCCATGGAAGCCTTGTCGCCAGCCAGCTCGTTGCCGTACTCATAGTCCTTGCGGAACCAGTCTGGAGGGTTGGCAAGATCCAGGCGGTATTGTCTCTCAAAGGCAGCGTCAGACATCTTGATGGTGCCAAGTCTCTGTTTTTCAATGCACATAGCATCGAGACCATCTTCACCGTACAAGAATTGAATAACGTCACCGAGCGAGTTGCGCACGGTTCCATCGTAGCGCGCGCTGAGATCTTCAAGAGCCTTGACAAGACGTCGCTGAATGTAACCAGTCTCGGCTGTCTTGACCGCAGTATCAATGAGACCTTCTCTACCAGCCATGGCGTGGAAGAAGAATTCCGTAGGGGTCAGGCCACGAAGGTACGAATTCTCCACGAAGCCACGGGCTTCGGGGGAATAATCGTCCTTGGTGAAGTGAGGCAGCGTTCGATACTTAAAGCCGAAAGGGATACGCTTTCCTTCAACAATCTGCTGACCCACAAGCGCCGTCATCTGCGAGATATTGATGGAAGAACCCTTGGAACCGGATTCAGCCATGGTGACGGCGTTGTTGGAATCCTTCAAACTCTTCTGAGTTGAAGTACCAGCCTGGTCACGAGCCATGTTAAGAGCCATGGAGACCTTGTTCTCGAATGTAGCACGAACGTTCATGCCAGGTAGAGCTTCCAGCTCGTTGGCTGTAGCCTGAGCAGTCAGGCGCGCGACCTCGGCCTTGTGCTCGTCAATGTGAGCCTGAACCTTCTCGATGGTTTGCTTATCAGGAATGGTATCACCAATACCGATGCTGTGGCCAGTGTTCAACAGCCAGTAGGTGACGACCTGTTGGACACCGTTCAAGAACGCCATAGCGCCTTCGGGTCCCAATTCATTATAGCACAAGTGAATGATACCACCTGAGGCAGCACCGACGTTCTTCTTCTTGAGCAGACCATACATGAGCTCGCCACTTTGAATAAGCAGGCCAGCATCATGCTTAGGATTGTCCAGCTTGTCTTCCTTGCTGTACAGACTGATCTCGGGAGGGATGACCATGCTGATAATCTGTTTACCAGTCCAGCGAGGTCTGGGTTTCAAAATAGCCGGTTGAGGAATGACGCCGTCCCAGTTGGGGACCCAGAGCATGAGATTCTGAACAAACTCCTTGTCGATGAATGTGTCACGGCGGCAGAGCTTGTAGACACCTGCCAGAGAATCCTGGACGATACCCATGAGAGGGCCATTCTTCTGAGGCGAGACAATGTTGTTAGGAACGAGACAGAGCTCCTTGATTTCAGCTCGAGTTTCTTCGGTCTGAGGCACGTGCAAGTTCATTTCATCACCGTCGAAATCGGCGTTGTATGGTGACGTGACGGAGAGATTCAGTCGAAAAGTTGAGTACGGCATGACCTTGACGCGATGGCCCATCATGGATTCCTTGTGTAGAGAGGGTTGACGGTTGAAGATGATGTAATCGCCATCGATAAGATGGCGTTCGACCTTCCATCCATACTCCAGGGAAATCTGAGCCGCACGTCTGTGGTGCCGTAGATCGATTCTCGTGCCGTCAGATCGAATGACGTACTTGGCACCAGGGTGCTCGTTTGGTCCATTTTCGACAAGCTGATGCAGCTTAGCAATGTTGTAGGGTGTAACCGTCTCGGGATATGTGAGAGTGCGAGCAATACTCCGCGGGACACCAACTTCATGCAACGACAAGTTGGCGTCGCCAGTAATAACGGTACGTGCAGAAAAGTCGACACGCTTGCCCATCAAGTTACCTCGTAGACGACCCTCCTTGCCCTTGAGGCGGGCGCGGATGGCCTTGACCGGACGCCCGCTCTTTTGAAGAGCCCGTGGTTGTCCAGCGATATCGTTGTCCATGTAGGTAGCAACATGATATTGCAAGAGCTCCTCAAAATCGCGCGCAATGTGTTGCGGCGATCCTTCACGAATTGCCTGCTTGACATTGCCGTTGGCGCGAATAATGTCGCCAAGCTTGTAGGTCAAATCGTCTTCGTTTCTCGTGCCAGTGCCAGTACCATCCATGGAAATACTAGGACGCACGGGAGGGGGCGGAACGGGCAGAACAGTAATGATCATCCACTCAGGACGGGCATAGTCCGAGTTGAGGCCCATGTTGTGCAGATCGCGCTCGGAGATGCGGCGAAGAATACCATGCGCCATTTCAGCGCTGATATTGACGGTTTCCTTTCTCTTCGGGCCCTCCTCCGAGGTGACTTCGAAAGCAGCCTTGAGTTGGAGTGCAGCCTGTCTCACTTGTGGCTGCATGTTGCCACATCCGCCATGTCCCTCGAGAACAACATTCTTAACACCAGGTGCAAACTCTTCATCCTTGTTCTTGTCTTGCCGCTCCTCGTTCTCACATTTGCGCTTCTTCTTACACACAGCCCAGACGCGCTTGAATCGAAGTTTCGGATCGCGAGTACGAATAGCGGTAACAAATTCGGGATCGCTCTGAGAGTTCACGTTAGCATCCAGCAAGCTCGAATAAAAGCTTCATGGAGTAAAGGGAAGACCAACTTCATCGGCCAACACTTTGCTGCAATTGTGGCAGACAATCTCCAAGACTTTCTTCACTTTCTTGATGAAGCCAGGGTGGTAGACGGGTTTCGCTAGCTCGATGTGGCCAAAGTGACCTGGACACTCGCTCATCGGTTGAGAGCAAGTTTTGCACTTGAACTGGCGATCAATGGAACCCAGTAGGGGATCGTTGAGGCCGCCGTCGCGCGGCGTTGTCTTGTTTTCCTCCATTGTTTCGGGATAGAGAATGTGCGCAACGCTCATATTTTTGATCTCCTCCGGGGACAACAAACCAAACTGAATCTCCTCAACAGTTTTGAGCGGCGCGCTCGAATGCGGAAACGGAAGGTTCGCCATGATGAATCGATGTGGCAATAATTGATCGAGATGTCGAAGAACTTTGGACGTCCAGTTAAGGCGTCAAGAGCGACGCGCCTCGGTGGTTGTAACGGGTGGTGGTACAGCCGCGTGAGATGAAAGAAAGCAGCGCGCAAAGGAGGTGGGCAAAAAACCCGAATTCGACTAAATCCAAACGCAGACGAGTATCGTTCTCGATGGCAGACGCCGTCAGAGTCGAGTTGCGGATGGCCCTTGAAGGCAGCAGCGCCTGTCCTGGCCAGCGGCCCAGGAGAACCTCAGGCTAATCGCCCCCGTCGCCTCCACCTCTGGAATCGCGAGATGAAATATTTCGCACGTCGCTATATCGTAGGGTGCTCGAATCGGTGCTCGGTGATGTCGCGCACGATGCCCGACACGCGTGGTGATGAGTTTGAGGCCCGTGAGCAAAGTTTTGTGTGGTTGAGGCGTGGCGACAGAGAGCGCCCGAAGAAACTGGGAGTTTAACGTGACTGCGAGTGGCTCGTTCGGCGCTAGTCCTCTTTGGGCCCCGCCGACCTCCTAAGGGAGCATACGTTTATGCCTAAGGCATAAATCAGGGAGGTACCAAGGACAAAGCTAAGACGGGCCGAGCACGCATTACCAATAGAATTTGCCTGGCCTCCAGGCACCAGCCATCCAAGATAAAGTCGAGCTACTTTAACCACACAATTTCTCTTCATCTAGGGTAACACGACACCTAGCGAAGTAGAGCAACTCTCTCCGCTAGATCTCGCATTTACCACCGTCGCGGATGACTCAAACGGGGGTCGAGTCTGTTGATTGATTGTATGTAGTATCACTTGCAGAATGACATGTTCTAATTTATTGTTTGTTTGGGTATTGACTAGCTCTCCAGTCCACGCACGTCCTTTCTCATTTTCGCTTATTACTGCGCCCGCCCTTGCCGGCTCCCCGTTTTGGCGGGACAGTCTCAGCTCCCGCGTGTGAATCAGACTGGTCGTCTCCGGGACTTCGACGACGCATTGTCCCCGTTGACACGGCTATGAACTCGTCCTCGCTATCGCTTTCGCCCAGAGTGAACAGAATCGGCATGCGAAACTCTTCACCTTCCGTCTCGTCCTCAATCTTCAGCTGGTGCTTGGTCATAACGTCCACCTCCTCGTCTTCTGCGTCCAGTCGTCGTCTGTGGATCTCTTCTTGCGCATAGAGATCGAATTCGTCTTCCTTTTCAATGTACTCGACGTTCTCCTCGACCTCGGCAAAATCGGGCGCCAAAGCCGACCACTTTTGCGGGCTAATGACTGACCAAATGTATATTCTGCCCGTTTCTAATCCGCAGGCTGCCAGCATGGCACGAGCAGGGTGCCATTCGATGACTCCTTGTTCTTCCTTTGGATCTTTGAGCATGCAGACCAAACTCCCATGGTTGCGCTCCCAAACATATAGCTCATGGTTGTTATATGTCGACGCAGCAACATATTCGCCTGTTGCGCTGAACGTGACGTGGTTCCATGACAGGCGGTTGACGACGTCTTGAAACTTGTGCTCAATTGGTATTTGTATCGTGTCCGGATCGAGGTCCTCGGCAGACAGGTTCGGTATCCGTAGTGTGCGAATGATGCGATCCTGTGAATTGACCAAAAGATCGCGACCGGAACTCGTAATTCGCAGCGTAGTGATTGCGCCGGCGCAGATCTTTTCGGAGTAGATGATCTCGAGCGTTTTGGCGTCGATGATGTTGATCTTGCCCTTGCTTGTTCCAGCAAGAATGTGGTTCCCGGAGGTGGTCCAGACCGCTGATGTGGTCATCTGTTTGGCATCCTCTTTTGTCTGTCGCTCGTCGGCGTTCGCTCGTTTCGGTGCGGAAGGGAGTACGCGCTTGACATCGACGGGTTCGGAAACATCAACGAGGGCAGGCTGTTCTTCGAATACAGCGGCGACGAATTGAAAGCTGGCCGCGGTTAGTGAGGCAAGCAGTGGCGAAGGGCCGGGGTCATCAACCTATTCCACGGGTGAAGTTCTGCCATGTATACCGGCGCACGAAAGCGCACTTCGCGGAACCTGCTGCCGTCTTTCAGATCCCACAGAATGGCCCTCCATCCCTGGCACGCAGAGAGCAGGTAGCGACCACATCTAGACCAGCTGAGAAATGTGATGCTTTTGTTGTGGCCACGCAGCTTCCTCGCCACGCCCATAGTCTCCAGATCCCAGACAGCAACAGTTCCATCGACGCGCCCGGAAGCGAGGTAGTCTCCCTTGCGATTAAACCGTAGAAAAGTCGCATGGCCCGATCGTATGGTGCCCGTGATGCTTTCCGGGTAGTCCTGGAGCAAGTAGTCGTCGGAGAGAAGCAAGTTCATGTTGGTGACGCGGGTTGAAGCGAAGATATACCCTAGAAGGTGGTCGCGCGCTGGGTATGTGGTTGCGCCCGCCGAAGCAAGTCCATAAGCCGGCGTCCCTTTTATTTATGGGAATGCGCGTCGCGTGGGTGCAGAAGGGTCAAGGGTTGTCGCAAAGTCAAATATGGTAGAGATGGTCGCATGCGCCGTGGGCGGGACCAGATTCACTGCGCTTACCGCTGCTGTGGAGATCCACGGCGGGGCATCGCTTTCACTGTGCTGCCAGACTCGGCTCGATGTCCAACTTTGTTTCAGCAACAGCACAAGGACGACCTTTCAGAATGGCAAATTCAAAGTTGGTGAGATGCAATACTGTTTGATTCTCATCGTCTAATTTCTCTCTAGATTTGAGTATGTCCGGGAGTTTGAACAGCCAGACTCCCTACTGCGAAACACATGGATCGTGGTTCGTGTGGATGGCAGAGCTTTCACCAAGTAAGAGCTACATGCGCTCCGCTAAATCTGGCTGCTACTAACTTGAACTCTAAGGATGTGTGCAAGATATGGATTCGAGAAGCCGAATGACCGCAGAGCGCTCGATGTCATGAACGCAGCTGCCAAAGCTGTTGTCGCCGACCTTCCAGAAGTTACAATTGCGTATGGTGTCAGCGACGAGTACAGGTAATGACAACTTTTCTACGCACAATACGGCATGCTTACATTTTAAGCTTTGTTTTTCATAAATCTTGCAATTTATTCGAGCGAAGGGCAAGGTACGTCGATATCTATAACTATCCAGGTGACTCACATACTAACATGAAGTAGTAAACTTGTCAGCACCATTGTGTCAACTTTCACAGCAAATTATGTCCACTGTTGGTCAACGTACTTCCCGGACACACCACTGTCATTCCCCTTGCCTACATTTGATGGGCGCGCAGTTTGCTACCCAACCGTTCAAAATCTGCGAGACTACATGAGTTGGCGCCAGGCGGACTGTAAGCAACGTCTCTTCTGCATATGCATGAATTTCCGCTAATGAATCAAGGCCATATTAATAATCTATACAACACTGCTTTCTGGTCTTTAGTTCAGCTTGGTGGGTTGGACAATAAGGAAGCGGAGAAGACACTTGCGGTAAGCATCCACCAGTCTACCGTAGTGATGCAATTAACTAAGACGCTCCACGCGCAGGGCACACTGGCCGCTGATAAAAATGAAATTCTGTTCTCTCGCTTCAACATCAACTATAATAACGAGCCCGAAATCTTTAGAAAAGGAAGCGTCGTCTTCCGCGATGTGCGTACGACAACGCTCCGACTCTTATGCTAGCTAACATGACCCAGTACGAACTCGTCGACCCAGCGAGCCACAACACGGCAGATGCAGTTGATGAATTAGCAGAGCCTGTTCAGCAGTCCAAGACGCAGAACGAGAACGACAAGAAACGCCGATCCAAGGCGCGAATCGTGGTCGAGCACTTGGATATTATTCGAGATGACTTCTGGGACCGAAGACCATGGATCCTCTCCAACAAACCAGGCAAAGTGCCCAAGGAAACGTAAAAATAGCACAAAGTATATGAATACTCTTCTATTTCATGGCATCATTGTCTGTAAAGAAAATGTCGTCTATGTTACCTAAAGACCACCCAAGCGCCGACGCAAATGCAAAATCTAATAAAGAACGCAATAATAGTATACCCACGGGTCAAAGATTCAACCTACTTTCCGTCCTGTTCCTTTCGTTGCCGTCTCTTTTCTTCTTTCCGTGCTCGCCGGCGTCGTTTTTCCTTGGCCGCGTCATCGCTCGAGTCCGACTTCGACCCCGACTTTTTTGACTTGCGCTCTTGTTTCTGCTGAGCCTTTTCCTCCTTGCGCCTGCGCTTGGCTTCTTTGCGCGCCCTGCGCTCCTCCTTGGTCTCCCCAGCGTGCCGCGCTGCTTTCTTGGCCCGCTTCTCAGCGGCGTCGGAGCCGGGCTCGGTGGTCGACTCGTCGTCGGAGTCGTCGGAGTCGTCGGAGTCTTTGCGCTTGTTCAGGGCCGCGATGGTGCCCTCGAGGAAGCCGCCGCGCACAAAGGTGGTGTAGAGCGAGTACTTGCCGAGCGAGCCCTTCTCGATGGCGTTGAGCTTGCCGGTGGTGATGGTCTGCACAACCTTGCCCTTCTTCGACGTGTCGAGGCCTTGGAGCTGTTCGTCGAATGCGTTCATCCACCACTGGTCGCTGGTGAAGTGTTGTGTGGCGCCGATGCCCCTCGTGTTGTCTTTTCTGTTGAGTAGCAGTGGTTTGGAGAGGCCGACAGTGTCGTCCGTCTTGTGAAGCGAGTGACCTTTGCCTCTCCAGCCTTGGGCTGTGAGGAGTGCACTCGCGTTCATTGTGTCGAAAGAGTCTGCCCCTGGTATCTTAGGAAGTAGAGGGCAAGAAGAGGTAGAGAAGGATCCCCCAGACTTTGTGTCGCAAAGAGGCTGAGGAAAAGGCAGTGATTGGTCTCGCGGCCTTGAGTTTTTCTGTGGGGCCGTCCGGCTTATCTGCTCCGGACTACTGCTGATAGACGCGCTACCCTATAACAAATAGGATTTTTGTAGTAATTTGCGGTGCGCAAAATCGATGGGTTAGTAATAGCATTTAGTTGGGGGTTATTCTAATTTGCCATGCTACTGAAATTCAGCACATCAAAATATCAACTGGCTGTCTGTGTATGTTGAGCTGGCCTCGAAACGAACTGGCTGTGTTAGCACAAAAACGCAACTCAGAGCTGACACCAACCATGGCAGGAGTCAAGGGTACTGATATGTATTGGTGAAACTGCAATCTCTTCGTTTTTTTAGCTTTTTTTGTCTCCAGTCCGGCCCCCCTTCCGTTCCATTACAACCTTGCACAATACCAAGGAAATCTGTCTACCCAAAGCCACGGGCCTCGGCCGGCGTATTCCCGCTAGGTCCTGAAGAGCCCTGTGAGCGGATCTACTTTTTAGGGACTTTTTCGCGCGTTGCTGGCTGTCTGATGGGACCGAATCATGATCATTATAGTGGGCCGGGACAGTGAATGTTTCCTGACCGAAATGACGTAACACCCAGACCCAACCTGCCAACAGGTACAGTTGGCCTTTGTTCACGAGTTTGCCGGGATCAAATTCTGTGCTCCTCATGCGAGCGTTTTCTCATCTCCAACTGTGCAAGGGTAATGTGCAGACTTTCGAAGCTGAGCATTAATATGGCGCCCTTTTGTTCAGATCCGCGGCAGATCGTCATTGCCCTCGATCCGAAACGGCGGATAGAACTGCTCAAGCTCGTGGACGACATCATTTTTTCCATGACCGCTCAGCTTCAGCCCAGGCCAGACGAGCTAGGATTGGTATCTATTGAATCTAGCATATACGGAGAAGCTCACACACCACGAAGTGAAGAAGCCACGAGAACGTCTTCCCCAGACAATGAAGCCGTCAAAGCCGATACGTCTAGCGGATCCGTCACGTTGTTTGATGCTGACGAGACGCATGCCAACGATACAGCCGCAGCTCCCACGGATAAGAAAAAGGTTGGCCCGGCGAACCCGTTCAAAAATGTCAAGGTTGGCATGCCGTGGAAAAGCAACCCCAACACCCCAAGCAAGTCCTCGACACGGGCTGAGGAGGTACAGAGCGCTGCGCGCCAGTATATGGAGGAGTGGGAGCATGAGTTCGTGCCCAAGCTCGAGGAGATTGTGCGCGTGAAGGACAACGCGAAGATCGTCGCGGAGCGCAAAACACGGCGTCAAGCTGTGCAGATGAATGAGGAAAACGAGCGCGCCGAGAGCAAGCGCCGATCTAATTCTGACGACGCCCGAGACGAGCAAACGGCGTTTGCTATTATGCAGACGCTCTACCCGCCCATCCCGACGCCCCTCACTGAGCTCTCCGTGCACGACCGCCACGAGGCCATCAGCTGCGTGTTGCTTCTACTCCTCTCCACGGGCAAATACTCGGCACACTCGCGGACCCTGATGCTGGCGCTGACATCCTCGCTCGACATCCCGCACTCTTTCCTCAACATTGAGGAGGCGCAGATTGCGGAATCGCTGATCGAGCAGTCGACGGCAGATAAGGGCAAAAAGGAGGCCATGTCGGCCGACGCCGAGGCAGCCAAGCGCCAGCAGGAGAACAAGTTTGGCCGCTACTGGAAGGTCGGCCTCGCCTCGGTGGCCGGCGCCACCCTCATCGGCGTCACGGGCGGGCTGGCAGCGCCACTGGTCGCAGGCGCCTTGGGAAGCATCCTAGGCGGTGTAGGTCTGGGCGGTGTGGCGAGCTTTCTCGGCATCTTCTGGATGAACGGTGCTCTCGTCGGCGCTCTCTTTGGAGCCTATGGAGCCAAGATGACGGTACGTAGCCAAGAGTGCTGATTTATGCGCGAGTACGCTGTATACTGATAGATACTTAGGGCTCCATGATGGACAAATATGCCAAAGAGGTTGAAGATTTCAAATTTATCCCCCTGCACGAGTTCCCTGACGGAAATGGCACGCAAGGCGCCAAGGGCCGTCGTCTGCGCGTCACACTCGGCATCAACGGTTGGCTCAACTCGGAGAGCGACATCACCCGGCCTTGGGAGGTGCTGCCCGCTGACACGGAGGTTTTTGCGCTGCGCTACGAGATGGCAACGCTGCTGTCGCTCGGCACCGCCCTCGGCGACCTCGTGCAGTCGTTTGCGTGGAAGGCCGTCAAGGTCGAGATCATCAAGCGCACCGTGCTCGCGACGCTCTGGGCCGCGCTGTGGCCGATCCAGGTCCTCGCATTCGCCTCCAACGTCGACAACCCCTTCAACCACGCGTCCAACCGCTCGAAGAAGGCCGGCCGCCTGCTCGCCGACGCCCTCGTCAACCGCGTCCAGGGCGAGCGGCCCGTTACCCTCGTCGGCTACTCTCTCGGCGCCGTGGCAGTGCACGCGTGCCTGCAGGAGCTTGCCGAGCGCCGCGCGTTCGGCCTCGTCGACACCGTCGTGCTCGTCGGCGCGCCCGCGCCCTCCGACCCCGCCCACTGGCGCACCCTCGGCGCCGTCGTCTCCGGCACCATCTTCAACGCCTACTCCGAGAACGACATGGTCCTCGGCTACGTCTACCGCGCCCATAGCCTGTCCCTCGGCGTCGCCGGCCTGCAGCCAGTCCGCGACGTCGCCGGCGTCCGCAACCTTGACCTGAGCGACCGCGTCAGCGGCCACCTGCGCTACCCGAACCTGCTCGGCAACATTCTGCGCGAGTGCGGCTTCGCGGGCGTCCGCGCCGACGCGGAAATTGAGAAGGACGACGTCATCCGGCTCAAGGAGGAGTACGCCGCCGGCCACGCCGTCGACATGGACGGTACCACGGTCGCACCGCCCGACGCGGAGGACAAGGTCGAAAAGGGGGACGGCGTTGACGAAGCGACCGCGCTGGCGGAGAAGTTGCGCGTCGGCGAAGAGTTGCGCGAGGCACCGCCGCAGCCACTGCCGAATCGCCCGTCCGCGCCGCCTGAGACGCGTAGAAAGCCGGTGCCGGCGCCTGCGGCACCCTCCAAGAGGGACGACGAGGATTCTCACGATGGTTTCCGGCGCATACCCATGATGGAATGATGACTAAGTGTAGCGAAGACCCGTTAAGCTCTGTTGGAAAACATCTGGACAAGGATAAGGAGATATGGCAGAAAGTTTACTTGGCGGGCAGAGAGGCGTAGTCCGTATTTGGGCCCGAGAAAAGGAACACTGCATTTGGAATTATGTGGCTATAAAGACTGAAATGGATATATTGACGAAAACGATCTTGGCTTTGGCTATAAAAAAGAGAAAACAACATAGACTGGCTTGGGAAATCGGTAAAGGAAGAAAACAAGAATACTATATAAGAAAGCCTGCTAATTTGTAAACCCCATCATCGATCAAAACATTCTGGCAAGAAGGAATCAAAATGACAGCAAACACAATAGAATTAGACAAGGTCTTGTCGGCATATAGAGAGAGAGAGAGAGAGGAAGACAGAGGTGTTTTGGCACCCTCAACAATAGCGTCTGGGTAAAAAGTAGACAACAACAAAACAAAGAGAGCAGAAAATATTGACCAAGAAAACTCGGGCAGCGGTACACCACTGCTCTATTAGGTAGTTAGTCTCCTGCGGCGAGAGGATTGATCATCGGTTCGGCCTAGTCGGCAAACGCAATCGATTGAATCCTTTGCCCGTCCTCGTATCGCCACCTCGTTTTATGGTATCATTTAAAATGTCGGCAGTAAAAAAAAAAAAGACACTAGTTAAGAAAATGGGCAAAACATCTCCATAGGGTATTGCAGAAATAAAGAAAAGAAATCAATCGGGAAAGCAGGCTGAGGCGTCAACGAAGACGTCTTAAGCACTGTTCTTCACCGGAGGGGGGGAGTTGGTGCCCTCCATGTTGCCAGTTAGCTCAGCAACACGGGCCTTGATGCGAGCAACACGCGACTCGATTGCTGTTTACCACGTTAGCATGAAGTAAGAATAAAACAAAGATGGCTAGTACGTACTCTCCTCACCACTGGTGTCCTCATCTCCATCACCAGCGGCCTTGCTTGAGGGCATGCTGCGATCGCGCTCGTTCGTTTGGCGCTGAGTAGCACGGTCGGCAGCATTCTTGCGGATCTGTGCCCATCTATCCTGCACACCTGGGCTGGCGGTCCGGGTGAGTCCCTCGGTGCTCTGCTCTTGAGCGTCCTGTCTGTTCCGCGCGATAGGTGGAGGTGTAGCATCATCCTCTTCAGCAGTGTCGGGGACAAAAGCAGGCTGATCAGTCAGAGGGCCTTGATCAAAGCGAGAGAATTCGTCTTTGTTTTCGGTGTCTACGCCAGGAGTCGCAATCTTGGCAGCCTCAACAGCGGGATCCTCTAATTCAAGAGTCGGTTCGTTAACCGGCTCCGTCTCAGCAACCGTTTCGGCAGGTTTCTCGCTGTGATGCTCATCGTGGCCCTGGGTGTTGGCGACGGCTGCGGCGGCATCTTGCTGCAGCATACTGTTCAGCTGGGCAGCCGAGTTCTCGGGGAGCTTGGAGAATCGGTTTTTGCGGAACAGCTTGCGAAGACCGCCCTTCTCCTTGGCAGGAGACTTTGGTTGAGGTTCAACAACCTTTGTGGCAGAGACGGACGCTGGTAAGGGAGAAACTGGGGCACTCACAGGCTCCCCGTCTTTGGGAGGAGGGGCTGGAACTGGCTCGGTCTTTTCTTCCTTGCTTTCCGCCGCCTCGTGAGCAGCGGTCTTGCTTTCCTGAGGTTTTGGGCTCTCAACTACGTCCTCAGGCTTTGTAGCTGCAACCCTCTCGACGGCGGCAGGGGAGCTGATGGGTACCTCAACAGGAGCTGCAGCGACAGGTTTTCTCTCAGTCGCCTTGCCGTTGCCGTTAACGGCCTTGGCACTACCGTTAACACTGCCGTTGGCGGTGGCATTGCGATGCTCTTCCGCCCCAGAAGGGGAAATCGAGACGCCTCGGCCAGCATTGCTGTTGGAGAGGTAAGCATCCTTTACAGTTCCCTTGTCGTACTTCTTGACCCATTTCATGGCAGAAGAAGCTTCGCCAGCGATGGGGGGTTGAAGGTCAAAGACGCTGTTGGTCTTGTCGCCCAACACCTCCTCATCTGTACGACCACGTCGAGCAGGGACAGGCTTGTTCCCCAATTCCTGGATTGCACGCAGCTGAGCTGCCTTGGCGGCAATCTTGGCCTGCGTCTCGTTGCCGATGCTGGTAGTGCTACCACCAGCGGGAACTAGATCACCCCTTTTCAGAGAATGCTTGTTGGCAGTCTTCCGATGCGAGACAGTGCGGCTTCGCTTGGTCCAGCTAAAGAATCCCTTCTTTTCCGCAATGTAGGCGCCCTCCTGCGGGTCGGGGGCAGCCCCGGCAATGAGTTCTTCCATAACTAGCCATGCGCCATTGTGAACGGTTGTTTCAACAACAGCGCAGCGTCCAAAAGCAGCCTTTCTCTCGCTGGTCTCTTCGGGCGCCAGACTGCTCATCCAGACCCACCAGAAAGCATCATCCAGGTCAAAGGGAGTGATGCTGGCTAGCTCACCAGGCTCGAGGTCTCGGTCAGACTCAAGACGTGGTTGGTGTGACTGAGAGCTGTGCTGTCGCTGGACATCGATGGGGGGTAGGACCTGGTCCGGGGGGACCAGCGTATTGTTGTTACCGGAGTCATCCACAAAGCCAGTCGACAGGAAGTCGGCCCAAGAAGGTGTGGTGGGACGCATATCGTGGGCGGCAGAGGCTGGGACGTTGTGCAAGCTCTTGCTTGGACCAAACGTCCGCGGCGCCCGCTTGACTGGGACAGCGCTCTCCTCGTAGTCATCTTCCTCGGTCAAAGCACTCGCAAATCCGATATCCTCGAATCGCGACCACGAAGCGTCGCGAAGGCTGGTGGAGTGCTTTGCGCTGGAGGCTTGGGACTGGTTGGCAGCGGAAATTGCCTTTAGGACACGTCGACATTCTTCGCTAAGGGCTTCGGTCGCGTCATCAAAGTCGGAAAGCTTGCGAAGAGCAACGTCGGAATCGCGATACTCGAACTTGCTGGCACGCCGAAGGAGCGCAAACGGAGTGGGCGAAACAGAGTCAACAATCATGACGAGTTTGTTGGTGCGTGAAACGAGCATCTTGGAAGCCTTAGGAGGGTACTCTGTTTCGTTGAGAAGCTTCTGAAGAGATCGGGGCAGCATCGTGATGCCGGTCAACTGCTGCTCTGGGGAGAGAGATCGTAGATATGCGAAGAAGAGGTGAGTAGTGGCATCGGCGGCCCTGGTTGGTGTTAGCACACTGTGATCATGTTCAGTTCTGCATTGGACTCCGCTCACTTTCGCCAGGCCTTGTAGCCTCCGTCAAATCCATCGCCTGTGTCCTTTTGTTCAAACGCCCACCATGCGGCCATACGGGAGAGCTTGACACCGCTGAGCCCGTTTGTCTTGCCGTGGGCGGCAATGGCAGCAACTAGCTCGAAGAAGCTAAAGATGATTTGCTGTCTGGAGTCACTCTCAACACTAATGGGGATGAATGTTTTGAAAGAATCCCTGGCGAGCTTGGAGTCTGTGGGGACTGGGGTTAGCTATAGATGCGAGATGGAACCTTGAAGGGAAAACTTGCCGAGTTCGCCAATCTTGAATAGCTCGTATGCGTCCCAGGAGACAACGCCACCTTGAAGACGGCTCCAGCACCATTTTAGGACGGAGGCGAGGACCTTGATATTAATTAGCGATGCTATTTTGCCACGGCTTGTATCGAGGCGCATACCATGGGCTCTGCGATTCGGACTTCTTGGAGCAGCCTCTCCCCGTGCAGAGGGCCTTCCAGGCCGTCCTTGCCAAAAAAGTTCCGGATGAAGGTTCGGACACCGCTGGGATTGGAGGTCGGTCGGAACGGCAGAAGGAGAAAGGGATGGTCAAGGCCTGTTGTACGATGTGGTCAGTTCATGGTAGCAGGAGGCGACATGGCGGGGTGGCACGAAGCTATGATGCTGTGGCACAGGGCAGCGTTTGACGAACCTCGAGACTTAATTTCCTGGGTACAGCATCGGACTAGTTCATCGATCTCGTCTGGTTCGACGGAAGCGCGAGTATAGGCGTCATCCCACCTGGGCTTTGGGGGTAGGGAGCCGGCGAGGTTGTTGGTGGCATGCTTCCTTTTCTGGCGGGCATCTCTTGCCTTGTTGATGCGGGAGAAGATTCCCGGCATCCTGAGGCAGCACGACGAAGATCGTCGGGAAGGGCTCGGGGGGCTGGAGGACTCCGTGATGAGGCGGCGCTGAGGCTAGCAGCGCATACAAATCCAAGGGAATAGGGAAAGAAGCCTTTGGGCAGAAACGGACGGGAGGGGGCGCGGAAGAGGGGTCGGAAAGAAGAGAAGAACAAAGAGGATTGATGCTTTAAAGAGAAGCAGCTGGGAAGACAAGAGTACGCAGAAAGCGAGGATATCGGCGACAAGGTGTGTAGTGAAGCGTCAGGTTGATGCGTCGAGGTCTCGGCCAGGAGAGGCGCGATCCGCAGCAGACGTGTAAGTGGTAGGTGAAGAGGTAGTTAGGTACAGTAGGCGGCTGGTTGGTGCGTAGAGCCAACTTTTGGCGAGGCCCTAATAAGAAGAGAATGCGAGGCGGCTGCAGGCGAGCTGGAGGAGACAGGCCCAAGATGACCAGGGAAGTCTATTTAGCAACGACAACGGCAACGGCAACGCATGAAAGGAATAGAAAAAAAGAGCAGCCGGATCCGACAACGAGAGAAGGGACCCGGACGGCGGGCAGAACGAACGAGAGTAAGATAGGAATAGAGTGGGAGAAAGAAAGCTGAGGAACGAAAAAGCAAAATGAGGGCGCTGGATTTGGTGTGTGGGAAAAAAAGGAGAGGGTGAAGTCAGTCGTGCTTGTGTGCGTGTGGTGACGACGGGACGAGGGACGAGGAACGAGGGGGGCCGGGTGTGATGCGACTGTGGCCCTCTGTACTCGGTACTATCGTAGGTAATTTCAAGGTCAAGGTACCTTAGTAGGCCAGCAACTTAGCAGAAGAGGTTGAGAGAGGAAGAGAAGGACAAGGAGATTGACAGATAACCAAGGTACCACTAAACTACATGGGAAGTGGGATTGAGGAAAGTTGGCGCCAAAAACGCATGTCCTTGGGTCAATGTTGTTAGTGCAAAGTACTAATGCAATTCATTATAGCTGCCTAGCAGTGATAATAAATGGAATCACGACCTGAGGTCACAGACGTCGAGGAGCAAGGTCCCCTTTTGGGGTCTCCTTTTCGCTCTTTTGCTGTTGGCAAGGCCAGCTAGTTCAGGGGTCCGGAGATGGGCCAACGGGCTGCAGCGCCCACACGGGCGGCGGGGCTTGTCTGCAGACGTGTTAAGATTGGAATGGGTCAGTCCTCTTTTTTTCTTTTGGCCCGGCAAAGCGCATGAATTGAGGATGAGATGATGAGTGGCACTGACAATGAGTAGCCACTGATCATTGAGTGACAGCGCATCAGTGCAAGCTGGAGCGGCAGCTGAAGATGAGAATTGGCTGGCTGGCTAGCTGCCACTTGAGTGGCTGCAAATTAATTAGCTTCGCCTGGACTAAGGTTAGTGGGTCCTTCCATCTCGCTACTTTCAGGTACCAAGTACATCGGGGTATGGCGATTTGGTCGTCCCACGGATACTACCCTTAGTTGTTACCAGTTCGCACTTCTACTTAGTTGTATCTGAGCTAAGAAAATGTTTGCATGGATTGCAAACCTCGTGCTCAAATCGAACTTTTTTTTTGCTATCATCGTAGATTGATTGCCTTCAGACCGAACCCATCACATTCATAACCAACCCCAGCGTGGCGCCCTTCTACCCCTGGTATCCGGTTAAAATTCCGCCCAACAATTGCCTTGCATCAGTGGAGACACCCGCCATGGGTCCCCCAATTGCTGCTCGCCAAAAGTTCAAGGTACAAGACGGCAAGGAGTTACAAAACCTATTTGTTGTAACTAGAGCCGACCGTGTGGTGATGAATTGGAGTCTAAACGCAGCTACTAACAAGAACCGAAAAGCGCCATGGCAAGATTGTCGACTTTCTTCATCTGACTCTGTGGCCCGGCGTGCAGCCGCCCCATGCAACGCTGCACCTAAGGTAATCTTTTACACCTGCAGGGCGTCAAGTGCCGGCCGACTAGTTAGCGCACTGGAATAATTGGCGTTTGCTCTGGACGACGATCTGCCTATTTGGAACCCAACCCTCCAAAATATGGCAATAATCTCTCGTCTGCGAATACGTCCATACAATTCATCATAATCTACCAGTATCCGATTCAACGCGGACCCAGTCCGCAACGGACAATACTATTCGTACAGCGGCAGACGGACCGGTCATGCTGTGCTGTACGACATAATATCATCAACATTCACCCCTGCCCCTGACCTGACGTGCTGCCACCCATCGGTCCAATCACCATCGACCTGCCCATCTGCATTTTCTATGTATTAATCTCAGCATTCGAGCACCACCCACACTTCTCACATCTTCACACCAGCACTGCCTCGCCACTCGTCGCAGCGACACCTCAAATCATGCGTCGGCCTTGTCGCGCTGAAAAGACAGGTCGCCAACCAACACCTACGCGCCGCTTGGGCTGACTCGGGACAACTCGCCTGGCTACCAGTACGCTATTCGCCGCCATGACACTCTACTAATAAATCAACGGTCACTCGGTCATCAAGCCTCCATCTGCTAGTTATTAACGAACAGTTGCCCACGCATACAGACACAATCGTGGTGTTCCTACATAGTAGAAACCACACACTGCCCTCATGCCTTGTAATACCCCCCTCTATCTGCTCCCCCGTCCACGCTGTCTCACAGTCAAATGCAAGCCACTTATTACTATAGAAATAAATGCCGCCAGTCAATGATCATGCCAATCCAAGGACGAAAGAGCGGGCAAAAAAGTCTTGCCGCGGACAACAACCCCATTCGCCCCGGCCCCCCAGCCAGTGGCCCCTCATACTGCGTTGGCACACATATCGGCAGGGGGGAAGCCATATCGTCCAGCTCATCACTGACGAAGTCTTTGAAAGCCTGACAGGATACGTAAGAGCGAGGAATCTTGATTGGACAAGGCCCCATCGCATAGAGAAACGTAGTCGTTTGATTCTATGTGGTACGAGAAAGAAACACCATACACGTCAGCCAGAAAGCCCTGGTTTGGACAGCACACGCTCGCTGCGGCGCGGCGCATAAGGATTTACACATTGGCCTACTAATAAAGCTACGTCATGTACGCTGCAATGCTATCCAGGTTCAATCATCCAAACAAAGAGAAAATCATGACATCACAGCATCAACTTGCCATGCCATGCCATCCTATGGCTTCGTTGCTTGTTCCTCCGCTGCTTTGATGGCTTCTTCCAGAGCCTCCTCGTCATCCGATCCAATCTCATCATCCACTTCCACATTTTCCTTGCCGGCCGCGGCCTTCCCATTCACCTTCTTGTCCAGCGTCTTGATCACCACTCGTGGCTCGGTCAGCGTCGAGTTGCCCGGCACAAGCGCCCAGTCAATCTCGCCCTCGCTGCCGTACCGCGCAACCAGCCACTCATTGGCCTTGCGAAAGTGGCCGCAGTCGAAGAAGCCCCTAGACGCGCTCAGCGGGCTCGGGTGCACGCTCTGCAGAACCAAGTGCCGCTGCTTGTCCACCTTCATCACGCGCTTGCCCGCAGGCGTGCCCCAGGCGACGAAGACGACACCGCGCGTCCGCTTCTGAGCGATCAAGTCAATAATTTTTTGCGTGAGCTTCTCCCACCCGCGGTTCGAGTGCGAGTTGGCTTCGTGCGCCCGCACCGTTAGGCACGTGTTGAGCATCAGCACGCCTCGATCCGCCCACGGCGTCAGGAGACCCCCGTTCTTGGGAGGCTTTTCAAAGGCTGGATAGTCCTTGGCGAGAGCAATGTACATGTTTCGCAGTGATGGCGGCGCCGGCGTGGGCGGTCGCACCGAAAACGCCATGCCGTGCGCCTGGTTCACGTTGTGATATGGGTCCTGGCCGACAATGACTACCTTGACATCGTTGAACGGTGTATGTCGAGACCTTGGCCAAATAAGTTAGAGACAACATGTAGCAGTCTGTACATGATGGCGAGAGCAAACGTACCATGAGTACACGTCCTCCTTGGGCGGGAACCACTTCTTTCCGGCAGCCGCCTCTCTGTCCAGGAACCTCTTCAAGTCTAGGAATTCCTTTGTCGTTATATCATCCTTGAGCAGACCTAACCAGCTCTCGTGCATTGTGTCAATTTCTAGCTTCAAAAGGGTCTTTTGCTCTGAGGTGAGGCTGGCGAGCCACTTCTCCTTGTCGAACTTGGCCGTAGGCGCGGGCGCCCTGGCTGAGGATGCTGCGCCTGCGGTTTGGGCCGATTTGGGTGCTGCGCCGAAGAAGGCGGCAATGTTGCCATTTGCCTTTGGCTTCTTGGACTCTGGTCCAGGCCCAGAGCCACTGGCCTTGCGCTTGACGCTCGACATGATGTATAATGCCGGGACGAGGCTGCGTGCCTGGGAAGTCGCTGCTTGGCGGAGTAGTGTGAACGCCGTGGCTGCGAAGTACTTTAAAGATGGGGAAACTGTGGTTTTGCAGCTCACTTGATGTTGAGGGAGAGTTGATGGCCTGCTGAGATGAGAAGGAAACAGAAATTGATCAAAAGAAAAAGGGTGCGAGACGGCAAAGGGACTTGACCTCAGCGCAAGACCCTGCTCTGCAAGCCACCAAGAACGCGGTCTCAGCAAATGGTTGACCTGACGCGAGCCCTGGCTCCCATTTACGCGTGCTGTCGCAGCCAGTTGGATCGCTGTGGGGTGTTCGGCTGGGGCATCTGGTTCCACGCCCTGCTACCTTAATCTGTAGATGATCGAGTTTACGGGTTAACACTTTTTAAGTGAAGTTTCAACACAATTAAGTCAATTTTTCTTTGGAGATGGCTGTACGCAATTCTGTGTCTTGGTAGTTTTAGGGATGGGAGGTAGGACCGGAGCACCGTACGCCCAGGCAGTCGCCGCTGTCGTTGACTGCTGCTTAGTCACCACACTAGAACAGCCCGACCCTTGCAAGGAAGCCGCGGAGCTGGATCTGGACAGCTTGTACAAATGACAGCCCTGGTCGTATGCTGTCTCCAGCCGTCAATTATCCCACCTCACAACCCTTTTGATACGCGGGCACTGCCTGTAGGATCGCCATGCACTTTGCTATCTACATTATTTGGGATTTCTAAAAATAGCCGAGTATGAAAAGCTCGGCTGTGTGCCTGCTCCGTAAGTGGCTGCTCCGAACTTCCTCTGAGCTCTGGCATCCAGTTACTGACAACATTTCAGTGCTTTGGCAGGCAGCAATTGGCGCTACATATACTCAACAAAAGCCTTTGAAGAAGAATAATCCGAACGATGCCAGAGTTGGAGATGCGAACGGACCGACAACCGACCTAGCTGCCAGCGGCGCAGATCAGCTGGTCATTAAGCAACAAGGTACGACGGGCACGCTGCACCCATCCAGCAGACACTGACTCCCACAGGCTCCGAGCTAGTCGACGCTGCGTTGTCAGAGCTTCAAAAAACACCGATGGCCACGCGAAAGAAACACAAAATGGCCTCAGGCCTTCTCAGCTTCACCGCACGATACCTTCTCCGAGCACTGCCGACCATACCAGCGACCGGCCCGGTACAAAAGCAAGCTTCGACATTGAGCGGGCCTGTTGCTGCGGCAAAGGGCCACCTCGAGAAAGCTGCGGCGCAAAACAACTCTGACGCGCTGTATCTGCTTGCAGAACTCAACTTCTTCGGATACCACAACTACCCTCGAGATCTCCAAGTTGCCTTCGACTACTACCAACAGCTGGCCACGCACAGCGGAAATACCACCGCGCAATACATGCTGGGGCTTTTTTACTCTACAGGCATTGGTAATGTCGTGCCTCAAGACCAAGCGAAGGCGCTTTTGTATTACACACTTGCCGCCGAGCGCGGAGATCCTAAAGCGCTGATGGCTATCGGCTATCGCCACCATAGCGGTGTCGGTGCAGTCAAGGACTGTGAGACAGCTATTAAATATTACAAAGAGGTTGCCGACAAGGCTATCGAATGGTATAGAGACGCTCCTCCTGGAGGCCAGTCCTGGACCCAGGAATCATGGCGCATCTCAGATGAGCATGGTGGTATCTATGGCGAAGGGGCTAGCGCATCGAGCGCGGGATTGAATGCTCTGAAACGCAATTTGCATTCTAACGACAATGCCGATATAAGCGATGTTATTGAGTACCTCGATCTTATGTCGCAAAAGAGCGATTCTAAAGCCTCGTTCAACCTTGGCCGACTCTACTATGAAGGGCAGCGCGGTTTGGAGAAGGACTTCGACAGCGCTTTGAAGTACTTTTTTCTCGCAGCTTCAAGATATTGGAAACGTGATGGGCGTGCTGCGGATGGCAGCAAAAACGGCGCGGACAAGGTGGCTGCCGAGGCAGCTGGCTTCATCGGGAGAATGTATCTGCGCGGTGACGGAGTCGCGCAAAACTTTGACAAGGCTAAGGCGTGGTTCGAACGCGGCAAGTCCCACGGTGATGCTCAGTCGCAGTGGGGGCTTGGCATCATGCTGCTCAACGGTATGGGCGTTCGACGAAACATCAAGCTGGCGACGGAACTTCTGCGAACGTCGGCCGACCAAGACTATGCGCCGGCTCAAATACAGATGGGCCGCTTGTTCCTTGACCAAGGCAACCCTGAGGACGTTAAAACGGCTAATTACCTCTTTGAGCTTGCCGCCCGGTACGGCAACATCGAAGCCTGGTACTATCTGGCGGAAATGACACACCACGGCGTTGGTCGCGAGCGACAATGCCAACTTGGTCTTAGCTACTACAAGACTGTTGCCGAGCGGGCTGAGCCGCTGGTCTCGCTCTGGTCACAGGCCAACTTGGCATACGAATTAGGGAACCATGACCTGGCGTTCCTCCAGTATCTCATGGCTGCCGAACAAGGATACGAGAAAGCACAGACAAACGTGGCATTTATGCTCGATGCCAAGTTTGGCAAGTTATCCTTGGTTGAGCTGCTCATTGGTCGTCAGGAGAATAAGGTCAGCCCCATGGCCAATGCCAATCTGGCCTTGATTGAGTGGACTAGATCATCGCGACAGTCCAACGTGGATGCACTGGTGAAGATGGGCGACTACTATTTTTACGGCATCGGCGTCGAAAAAGACCTTGCCAAGGCGGTTCAATGCTACACCGGAGCCTCAGACTATCAGCAAAGCGCGCAGGCGCTTTTTAACCTAGGATGGATGCATGAGAATGGCATAGGCCTGACGCAAGACTTTCACCTTGCTAAGCGATACTACGATCACGCTCTGGTAGTCAACTCCGAGGCATATCTCCCCGTCACGTTGAGTCTTTTGAAGCTTCGCATGCGCAGTGCGTGGAACACCTTTACACATGGTCCGATTCATTCTATTCAGGACGAGCCCAGTAAGTGACGGTGCTGCCAGGCTGACATGCGGGGGCCCGATACTAACAACGACTGCAGAGAAGAAGAAGGACTGGTCTCTCTCGGAGTGGATCAACAACTTCATCGACGGAGAGTTGATATACGAGGACGACTATTATGAAGATTACTACGATGCCAACACTATTGATGGTGGGGAAATTTTTGATGACTCCAACGTGCTGGAGAGTCTGCTGATTATTGGCGTCACTTTTGCCCTTGTCGGACTGGTTTGGTGGCGGCAGCGGCTGCAGTTGCAGCGGGCCGAAGCTGAGGAGCGCCGGCGGCGCGAGCAGGGCCTTCCACCGGCCGCGGCGCCCGTGATGGACCCTGATCTAATGGGCAGATTTCCCGGGTGGGCTGCCGGTGGCATGGGGTTCTGATGCTTATGCTTTGTGAAGAAAGGCCCTGGCTCATTGTACATAATAAGACGGCGTTGGAGATAGAGCGGACGTACATGATTAGCGACAAAAAACGATACAAGAACATATCCTGAGAAACTTTTAAAAGGATTGATATGTCGGAGGCGTGACTTGGTTTTTCGGCCGTGAGGGATGTTTGCTCTGACTTGATAAATGCGGCGCTGCTATGGACATTGAGGGCGGCACACTGTATCAAGATGTACAACACAACTGGTTCGATGAGCCCCGATGCTGGAGAGGCTGCGCACACGGCAGCGTTTCATTCCGAGCGGCGGCGAAGTAGGGGGTGCTGCGCAAGGCGTCTGGCAATATGGATCTATCCGGGCATGACGTAGAGTTGACTGGAGAAGCCGCCGCATAGGTTCATTGCCCAGCGGAAGCCATCCCGGGCTGCAGACGTATCCGCCCCGTTTTCCCTTGGCGGATGAAACCGCGAACTTGCCATGTTATCCGGGCAAGGAAGAAAAGAGTTTACGAATACATGTGACTATGATTTGGGGGGAACTTTACGGGTGATGGCGCCGCCTCTCACAGAAGTCGATACGTTTCGTACACGCGAGGGGCAAGGTCTGAAACGAGAGCGGGGGGTTCTTGTGACACGGGATGCGCATCAGAGAGGGCTGTAGCTGCGACACAAGGAAATGGGCGGGAGAGAGTAGGTGTGAAGTACGAAAAACAGGTAATGCAGAGTAACGAGAAAGGGACGCCTTCTGGGGTTAACGAGGCGATGCGAGGGAGCGGGCCGGTGAGGAAGCTGGTGATTCCTAATTTTGCTGACGAAGTGGCTGTGCTAGCGCCCAAGTTGAAAGGCGAACGGGCAACAGAGAGGCCTTCGGTGAATGGGAATCACTACGCCTTTGATTGAACTTGAAAGGGCGGCATTAAGGGCCTTGTTTATAGGAGGGCAAAATGCACAGCCTGCTCATGAAGTTTGTAATTAGGCAGAAAAAAAGGAAAGAAACAGGCTCTTTTGTGTTCGATCCCCCGAGTACAACACAGCTGTGACAACGCGCCACTTGTCATCGGGCTGTGCAAAACGGCTGGCCTTTCCAGCCACCTCTGGCAAAGTACCAGCCCCATAGTAACCATGCAGCCAAGGTACCTTGTTTTTTGAGTCTCTGCAAACGCCACCGTTGCCAGCGCTATATCATCTCCGTTGAGCCCGCCACCCACGCCCCAGGAACAACAACCACCACCACCATTGTTTTCTGCCCATCCTTTTCCCTCATCAACGAACAAACCGCCCTCTCGCCATCCTCCTCCTCCTCCTTTTGCAAACCTAACAACCGCGCCATCAAACTCCAACGACGACAAACGCCTCGCCTTCACCACCCATATCCCGCTCGCAGCGCAGCGTACATACATACTGCCTGGTGGCGGTTGCGCCGCGTCGAACTCGGATAGCCTGAGCAACAAACTCGCGACAAAACTAGAAACGCCATGGCTCCTCCGCCCACGAGCCTCGTCGCGCGCTTCGACGACTATTACTACGGTGGCTTTTGGTATACAACAGTACGTCTTATTGAGCCATCCTTTGCCCCCGTTGCCCCCAGAGGGAGCTCGCAGCGCTTCTGCATGGTCTGGCGACGACGCATATGCTGACGGAACTTCTCTTGCAGGCAGGCTATGCCATCCGCTGGTCGCTGTTTGGCCTCTTTGTGCTCATCATCCTCGTCTGGGTGGTTGGCGGCTACTTCCACGCCAAGCACCTGATGAAGAAGGGTCTGCCCCTGAAGTCCTATCACAGTGTACGTTGCTCTTTGCCCCCGGTTTCGATTTCGCTGTACTTTTGTTTTCAGTTTCTAACACGGTTCTTTTCCCCTTTCACAGTGCTTCTTCCCTCGACAGCCGCGCATGCAGCAGGCCGGCTGGTACCGCCCATACAACCCGTACCCTTACGGCCAGCCTCAGGACGGCTACAACATGCACTACATGCCGCCACCGCCGACCTACGACGCTAACCGACCGCCCGAGTACATCCCACAGCAGGGACCGCCCGCCGGCGCTAGCAAGGTCGATCCCTCGCAGTGGTCCGGGCAGGCGGCGAACCGCCCGGCCGAGTCGAGTGCGGCGGGCGCCGGGACCGGTGGTGGCGTTCCAGAGTACGCGGCGCCGCCTGGTCCGCCTCCGGCTGCCGCGAGGCAGTAGATCTGAAACAAGCTGGCGGCGAAGTGGGGGGAATACCAGTTGGCATGGAGTACGGGAATGTTGTCCGCATAGACGGGCAAGCAAGGTGGGCTTGCTTGCTGGGCCTTGCTGGGCCTTGCGGCAAAGATATTGAGCTCCTGCTCTCTATTTTTTTTACCATTGCGTGCGGCGTTTCATACTTGAAAAGGGAAGTCTATTAGTTTGTTGTACTGTATTTAGCTTATGGGTCAATGGTGCTAGCGCATGGCCAACGCTCGCCAATAATTTCGCGCCATCTTTGGTTCTATCCCGAGGGCCTAGATCAATCCACGTCCATTTCTATATCACCTGTTTCAGCCTGGCCCGGCGCGGGTTCAGGTGTTTTTGTGTCCACCGCCACGGTATAGGAGCTGTCCGCGTCGCCGGCAGCCTGACACGCGCGATGCCGTCGACGGGCTTCTAAGATGGCCTTGCGCACGCCGTCCTTGTCCTCGGGCACGGAGAGCGACTTGGGGTCGCTGTATAGCACAACCTGCATGCCAGCCAGCTCGCCGTCGCTGTTGGCCAGGACCTGAGGCGGGATGCGCGTCTCGCGCAAGCGCTTCTCAATGTCCGGGAGGAAGACGAGCCGGGCTTCGTCCGGTTCGCTGTCGTCGTCGGCGAGCTCCTCGTCTATGTTGTAGATGTACACCTTGTGCTTGGTGTCGTCGAGGTGCATCACGTTGTCGTTATCGTTGCCAGTACTTGTTGTCGTCGGGGTCCGCCGCCGTTGTGGGCTCTCGACCGGGACGTAGAGCTTGGCGCCATCGCGTTCTGGACCGAGAGAGACATTAGTAGTGTTTATTGACTGGGGAATTGGAGGAATCGGCGATATATGGCAAGAGGAGATGATAGAAAAACAGGCGAGAATATAATAGACATACCTATGTTCAACAAACTTAGCCTCTTGGAAAGGCGCTCGTTGTCTTGCTGGGCATCGGCCTTCCGCTTGTGGCTGTTGCCAGCGCTATTGCTGGCCTGAGGTAGCCGCTGGCTGGGGTCCATTGTCCAGCCAGCGCGGCTCGAGAGGGAGATTGCGCTGGCCACACTGGTCAACGTCACCTTTGCATCAATTCGATTCCTCGCCTTGCTTGCAGGAGAAACGCCCGGCACCCAGGAGGCGTGTCGCGCACGGTCTAGAAGCAAGCCTCTTGATTGCTTGTATTCTTTATGACTTTTTTGCAGATGCTGTGACACGTCGCGAGGCGGATTGAGTCATCGAATGTTGCAGTTGTTGCAGTGTGGTGGTGGTGGTTGTGGCAGAGGGCAGCAGCGGTTTTCGGCGTTGGCTCTGGCTCTGCGGCGGCTCCAGTTGACTCACGCTTGTGGAAGATTCCATCCGTCCACAGTGCAGCGGTCCCCGTACCACCGTAACCAGTACCCTTCTTCTCAGCGCTCCGTTACCCACCAGAGCGAAGCGGGCAGTTGCCGCCACCATTATTACGGATCTTATGCCCACCAACATCACCACCGCAAACACATCTCCCCTCCTCCACATTCTCAAAGACACCCTTCTGCAAACACCGCCGCCATACCCCGAATACCCTCCCGACGAGCCTTTGCCTGTGCCTCCATCCCCTTCCGATCCCGTCACTTGCAGCGCCGTCTGTATTCCAACTTGAAAATGGCGACGGAGACAAGCTGGCCCGCCGCCAAGGTCCGGCAGACCTTTCTCGACTTCTTCGAGAAGAGGGGCCACACCGTTGGTGCGTATTTTGCTTCGTCTGATCTCTCGCCGCTCCCGCGACATGGCATTTCCTTCTCGCATCTTTTTTTATCGAGACTTATACCTGCCATGTCACGGCAATACACTGCGCAGCCATGCTAACTACCCCTCCTTCCAGTCTCCTCCGGCTCTGTCGTCCCTCACAATGACCCCACCTTGCTCTTCACCAACGCCGGCATGAACCAATTTAAGCCCATCTTTCTCGGTACCGTGGGCAAGACAGATCCCATGGCCAAGTTGAAGCGAGCTGTCGATACCCAGAAAGTCATCCGCGCCGGCGGCAAGCACAACGATCTCGACGATGTCGGCAAGGACTCTTACCACCACACCTTCTTCGAAATGCTCGGCAACTGGTCCTTTGGCGACTATTTCAAGACGGAGGCCTGCGAGATGGCCTGGGAGCTCCTCACCAAGGTCTACGGAATCGACCCCGAGCGCCTCTACGTCACATACTTCGAGGGTAGCGCCGAGCTCGGCCTTGAGCCCGACCTGGAGGCTAAGGAGCTTTGGCACACCATTGGCGTCCCCTACGATCGTATATTGCCCGGCGACATGAAGGATAACTTCTGGGAGATGGGCGACCAGGGCCCCTGCGGACCCTGCTCCGAGATCCACTACGACAAGGTCGGCGGGCGCAACGCCGCTAGCCTCGTCAACATGGACGACCCTATGGTTGTGGAGATTTGGAACCTCGTCTTCATGCAGTATGACCGACAAAAGGATAGAAGCCTCAAGTCGCTTCCTGCGAAACACATTGACACTGGTTTGGGCTACGAGCGCCTCGTTTCCGCCCTCCAAAATACCATTTCCAACTACGCCACAGACTGCTTCACCCCCCTCTTCAAGCAGATTGAGACAGTCACCGGAGTCCGTCCCTATACCGACAAGTACGGCAAGGACGACACTGATGGTATTGATACCGCCTACCGTGTCATAGCTGATCACATCCGCACACTTTCCTTCGCCATCACTGACGGTGCGGTGCCCAACTCTGACGGCCGTGGCTACGTCGTCCGCCGAGTCTTGCGTCGCGGTGTACGATATGCCCGCAAGTACCTTAACGCCGAGATTGGCTCCTTCTTCTCCAAGATTCTCCCCGCTCTCGTTGAGCAGGTTGGTCCTCAGTTCCCTGACCTGGTAAAGAAGCAGGAAGATATCATGGAGATCCTTAACGAAGAGGAGGAGGCCTTTTCTCGTACCCTCGACCGTGGTGAAGCCCAGTTCGAAAAGTATGCTGCTAAGGCCGCCAAGGACAACGTCAAGAAGCTTGATGGCGATGTTGTCTGGCGCCTCTACGATACCTTTGGTTTCCCCGTTGATCTGACCAAGCTCATGGCCGAGGAGCGCGGCCTCAATATTGATGAGGCTGAGGTGGATGTTGCCAAGGAAAAGGCTCGTGAGGCTTCCAAGGCTGTCAAGGACGCTGCCGCTACTTTTGCCAAGCTCAATGTTCACCAGATTGCCGAGCTTGAGCAGGAGCACAAGCTGCCCCGCACCGACGACGAGGGTAAGTTTGTCAAGGGGGACAGCAAGGGCAAGATTCAGATCATTTTTGACGGCCAGACTTTTCACAAGTCTACCAAGGATCTCCCTCCCAAGACTGCTGTTGGATTATTGCTCGACAAGACCAACTTTTACGCCGAGTCTGGTGGTCAGATTGCCGACACTGGCCGCATTGTCATTGACGACGTCGCCGAGTTCAAGGTTATGGACGTTCAGAACTTTGGTGGCTACGTCCTGCACAGCGGCTACGTTGAGTACGGTGCCCTTTCCTCTGGGGATGAGGTCATCTGCGAGTACGACGAGCTACGACGTTCTCCCATCCGAAACAACCACTCTGGTACTCACATCCTGAACCACGCCTTGAGAGAGGTTCTAGGTGACGACATTAACCAGAAGGGCTCACTTGTCGACGATGAGAAGCTCCGCTTCGATTTCTCACACAAGGCTCAGGTCAAGATTGAAGAGCTGAATAAGATTGAGGATCTGTCAAACGCCTATATCCGCCAAAACTCTAAAGTCTACGCCAAGGATGTCGATCTGGACCTCGCTCGCGAGATCGAGGGTGTTCGCGCTGTTTTCGGCGAGACATACCCTAACCCTGTACGCGTTGTTTCTATTGGCATGGATATTGACACTATGCTTGCCGATCCTAAGAAGGCAGACTGGCGCAAGTACAGCGTCGAGTTCTGCGGTGGCACTCACGTTGAGCAGACTGGCCTCCTTAAGGATCTGCTGATTGTCGAAGAGAGCGGTATCGCCAAGGGCATCCGTCGTATCATTGCCTACACCGGCGAGGCTGCCCACAGAATTCAGCGCGAGGCTGCCGAGTTCTCCAAGACTCTAGATGCCCTTGATGCTCTTCCTTTTAGCCCTGAGAAGGAGGCTCAAGTCAAGACCGTCTCGCAGGAGCTGAGCAAGCTTGTCATCTCCACTTTGACTAAGGAGGAGTTCAACCAGCGCTTCACCAGGATTAGCACGTCGGTCGTCAACGAGCAGAAGAAGAAGCAAAAGGCCGAGTCAAAGACTGCCCTCGATACCGTCACCAAGTACTTTGAGGACAACAAGGAGGCCAAGTGGTTCGTCGGCCGTCTGCCCATTGGCGCCAACGCCAAGGCTCTGGGAGATGTTGTCAAGCACTTCCAGAGCAAGGACAAGGAGAAGACTGTCTACCTCTTTGGTGGTAGCCAGGAAGCTGGCGGCGTTGTTCACAGCGTGTACATTGGCCAGGTAAGACTTACATGCCACGGTGCATTCTTATTTCTATTTTTGATACTGACCCTTTTGTAGCACCTCGTTTCGCAGGGCGTTACCGCCGAGCAGTGGGCTGCCAGTGTGTCGGAAGTCATCGGAGGACGTTCCGGCGGCAAGGAGCCGACCCGCGCGGGCCAGGGCACCAAGCCCGAGAGCATCGACGAGGGTGTCGAGCAGGCTACCAAGTGGCTGAACGAGAAGCTGAAGCGGTAGAGTTTGCGCGGATTTTATAATCTTCCAAAAATTACTTGTGTATGAGTTCAAATTTTATGAGAATGCTTGGTTTTTAAACATGCGGAAAAACTTGGAGGATATGGCGGGACGGGTAGTTTGCAATTTTTGACAATGCCAAAAAAAAGGCATAAATTGAAGAAGAATTTGACAAGGCGCGTGGACGAAAGTGTACAAGTGCTTTATGTATAGCTGCTCATGGCGGCAGCTTTTGGTAATATACAGAGGAACATCTATGTGCTAGTGGTACAATGCGTGCGTCATGCGCACAAGTCCTTCATGGTGAGGTGCGAATCTTTTTATACAGTCACCATGACGCTCGCGTTCTTGTAGTGCGACAGCATCGGGTTCTCGCCGCTCCGCGTCTGCGTGTCCTCGACGTAGGCCCATCGCCGCAGGAAGTCGCCGTGGGACATGACGCGCGTCAGCTTGCCGGTGACGGCCCTGTACATGGCCTCGGCGATGGCAAAGTCTGTGGGGAAGAGGATGTCAAAGTAGCCCTGGTGGACCTACACGAGACCTTTTTGTCAGTAACTCTACCACACAGTAGGGATGAGGCCGGGCCGGGGGAGGGACTGTACCAGAGGCGTGGTGACGGGGACCATGCGGCGGTTGTAGCGCGTCTGGACGACGGGCGCGTTGAGCCCCGGGACGGCCTGCGGGAGGGCGTCAAAGTCCGAGGTGACGAGGCGGTGCGCCGGGAAGTAGCGCTCGAGGACGTCGAAGAACTGCATTAGCCGGGTGGGCACGTACTCGGCGCGGGAGAGGTTGGGCGCGAAGGGCATGCGGGCGGCGAGGCGGCGCAGCAGCGGGTTTGCAGGGTACGGCCGCGGGTAGGCGCCGCCGGTGGCGGCGTGGCGGACTCGGAAGAAGCGGGCGGCCACGGGGTCGAGCCCGTGGACGTAGAACTCGTAGAGGTCGCCGTCGGCGTCGACGAGCACGTGGCCCTGCAGGGGCGCCTCGGTGGCGAGGTCGTAGCGGATGCCGTCGTGCGCGAGGTTGTCGAAGACCTCCATGGCGAGGAAGAAGCAGGGGCTGGGCTCGTACCGGTCCCAGTCGAAGATGGAGCGGTTGACGATGGAGACGTGGTCGGCGTGGCCGCGCAGCGAGGCGGCCTGCAAGGTCGCGAGGGCGGGGGAGATCTCGACGACGTGGTAGCGCGTGCGCGCGTAGACCTGCGGGTCGACGGCGCGGATGTAGTCGAGGATGTTGAGCATGAGGGTGCCGCGGCCGGCGCCGGCCTCGTAGACGATGAGGTCGTGGTAGGGGTAGGTAGTGAGGCGGTAGTTGGAGACGAGGTAGCGCGCGATGGCCTCGCCGTAGAAGGGCCGGAAGAGCTCGGTGGGCGTGTGCCAGAGCTGTCGCGTCGGGTCCGGCCCGGTTTCGGAGGCGGCGTCGAGGGCGTCCTCGAACTCGGTGTAGCGCCGGCCGACGGCGGCCTGGAACTCAATCTCGTCGCGCATGGCGTTGAAGTCGAACGGCTCGCCGGGGCTGAAGATGACGGCCTGCTTGGAGAAGTAGCCGTACGCCGGGTTGTATAGGGAGTCTGGAGGTCAAAGGTTGGGGTTAGAGATTTGATCTTGCGGAAGAGACAGGTACGGCAAGCAGTGCGTCCGGGCTGTAATCTCTTCTTACCCTCGATAAAGTCTCGAAGCAGCATCTTGACCTTGCGCGGCCGCTCTGTCCGCTGTTTAAGCTCATCGGCGGAGATGTACGGATACTTTTCGAACTCGTCGGTGCGGTCCTCGGGCAGGATGTTCGTTCGCTGCTGCCACCGACTCTCGTTGCGCTTCATGCCGCGGTCGATGGACGGCCTGGTAGCGTAGCCGCGACCGTTATGGTGGCTCGCGGTTGCGGTGACGGGCAGTCGATGGCTGCTCTGGCTGCGAAGTGTCGTTGTCGTGCGCAAATGACCCTGGCATCCGCGCGGCCGTTGTCGAAACAGCTGCCGGAACAGCTGCGTCACAATAGGGGAATCCATGGGCCACGGCAGCGCACGGTCCTTCAAGGGCGCGTGTCGGAAGTAGTCGCGAGCTGGACGGAAGGAGAATGAAAGAAGAAAGAATCGCGCGTGATCTTCCTGGTCCCTGGACGATGTCAAGCTCAAGCTCAAGCTCCGTGGAAGAGGGTACAATAATTAGCAGCGGGCGGCAGGGGAATAGCGTTGTTCCGGTACAGGGCTTACTTGCCTAAAAAGAGTGCCCTGTACTTTTCGCTGGGGCCTTGAAACTTGCTTCAAAACGGCCCTTGGTGGGGAGCTCATGAATGACGTTTTCCCCACCAACTCGGCCTCGCTGGGCCTCGATATCCTTTCCTTTACTCGCCCATTGACAGACACAAAGCGATTGCGCGCATAACCACGACCGCCTACTACCTGTTAATGGCAGTATGTCACTGAGCGACCACCCCAAGGCCTACGGCACCGCCGCCTTGGTGGTCGCCTTTACCGCTGGTGTCCTCGTGACCCTAGGTTTCAAGGACGTATATCCCGAGCTCGAGAGCCGCTTCCAAGAGAAGCGCCGGGTCCGGGCCAGAGGGCCCGCGGGCAAGCGACGCTCTAGCATATTCTGGGGCAGCGCGCCCGTCACCCTAGAAGACCACGAGCAGGACACCGCCGACTTCCGCTCGCCCTCCGACGGCATCCTGGAGGACGGCATCGCCGGCTGCATCGGCAGCACGCCGCTCATCAAGCTGCGCTCCCTCTCCGAGGCCACGGGCCGCACCGTGCTCGCCAAGGCCGAGTTTCTCAACGGCGCCGGCGGCAGCCCCAAGGATCGGGTGGCGCTCGGCATCATCCGCGCCGCCGAGCGCGAGGGCCTGCTGCGCCCGCACCGCGGCGACACAATCTACGAGGGCACCGTCGGCAGCACCGGCATCTCGCTCGCCGCGCTCGCCCGCGCCCTCGGCTACCGCACCCACATCTGCATGCCCGACGACCAGAGCCGCGAGAAGTCGGACCTGCTCGCGCACCTCGGCGCCGCCGTCGAGCGCGTCCCCGTCGCGCCCATCACCAGCCCAGACCACTTCGTCAACCTAGCGCGCCGCCGCGCCGCCGAGCACACCGCGCGCCAGGCCGACCCCGCCAACGGCGGCGACGGCAGCCGCGGCTTCTTCGCCGACCAGTTCGAGTCGCCGGCCAACTGGCGCGCCCACTTCGCCACCACCGGCCCGGAGATTTGGCGGCAGACGGGCGGCGGCCGCCTTGACGCGTTCGTCGCGGGCGCCGGCACCGGCGGCACCGTGTCCGGCGTGGCGCGATACCTGAAGCACCGCGCGGCCGACAACGGCGGCATCCGCGTCGTGCTCGCCGACCCGCAGGGAAGCGGGCTGTACAACAAGGTTCGGCACGGGGTCATGTACGCGCCGACGGAGCGCGAGGGCACGCGCCGCCGGCAGCAGGTCGACTCGCTCGTCGAAGGCGTCGGCGTCAACCGCGTGACGGCCAACTTCGAAGCCGGCCGCGACCTCATCGACGACGCGGTGCGCGTCGAGGACAAGCAGGCGTGCCGCATGGCGCGCTGGCTGGCCGCGCGCGACGGCGTCTTCGTCGGCAGCAGCAGCGCCGTCAACTGCGTCGCGGCCGTCGCGGCGGCGCTCGCGCTGCCCCCGGGGAGCGTGGTCGTGACGGTGCTATGCGACTCGGGCGCGCGCCACCTGAGCAAGTTTTGGCGGCGGATACAGGAGATGGGCTTGGAGGAGGAGGAGGCGGTGGACATTGTGGCAGAGTTGGGTTTGGAGAGGCAGGTGTGAGATCACAGGCGTGTATGATAAGCGGAACGAATATACCCCTTTACTATGTGGCCTTGGTTGATGTTGTATTTATGTATGAGCGTAGAATGTAGAGTGTATAAAATTGCTATTGTCAAGTCTGATATGCATGACATGAAAAAACGAGCAAGCCTTTGTTCCTGTATTTTGCGAACCCCCAGAAACTCCCCGACAGAATAAGAAAAGACTAGAAAATGGAATAAAATAAAACACCCTCTGTTATCAATTGACTCCCCTCATTTGAAAAAGTAGCCTGCGAGGCCCTACTGTGGAATATGTAGCATGAGAAAAAAAACACGAAATGCGATGCCGATATCGGCTCGCAGTACACCGTCTAAGAAAACTGCACCGCCGCGGGTTAGTACTCCGAAAAGCTCGTCGGGGGGTCGAAAAGAGTAGCTTACCTTCCAGCGATGCCCGCAGTTCATGCACTCGCAAAACGTCGTCATCGGCTCATCTGCACTGCGCGTCTGCGCCTGCGTGTAGCTCACCATCTTCTTCTTGCACTTGCCGCACTCCAGACTGTCGCTCACGCTCTTCTCCACCATCGGCACCTGCGCCTTCTTCATGTTCTCCTTCTCGAGCTCAATCTCCTTCTTGCGCTGGTCCTCGCTCTTGAGGTCGTCGTCGGTCATGGCCACGAAGCGCGCGGCGGGGATGTCGCCCGCCATGACGCTCACGCCGAGCGCGCGGTTCGACTTGTTTTTGAGGTTGGTGAAGAGCGAGCGGACCTTCTTCTTGTAGTCGGCGCCCTCGCCAGAGAAGCGCGCATAGGCGGCGGCCTCGACGGCGACGGCGCGCGCGAGCACGTCCGACTCGGAGGCGGTGGAGCGGAAGGCGAGGCCGTTGTAGAGCAGGCCGATGCAGTTGTTGCGCACGGCCGAGTCAGTGCGCTTGATGTCGACGCCGTCGGCGTCGTACTTGCGCGTCTCGGGGTCGCCAGTGAACTTCTTGCCGGAGGGTGCGGAGGAGGCCGCGGCGGCGGCGGTTGGGCCGGCGGCGGAGGGCGGCGAGGAGGCGGTTCCGGAAGCGGGGGAGCCGAGCTTGGCCTTGTGTAGCCGGGATTGCTTCTCCTGCTCGACTAGCTTCTTCCACTTGTTCACCAGCTCGGCCGCCGATCGGGCAATCTCCTTGTTGGCGTTGGCGCGTAGCTTTCCCACGTACACACCGGCGCGGGTTGACTAAATATTTTACACACAGGTTAGCGGGGGGGGACACGTCCACGTCACGACGGTCACAGCGGGAGGGGGGTGAGGTAGGGCCGCAAAGCCCGTATTCCTGCGACAGGCCATGCACCATGGCTGTGAAGAAGGCTGCCACGCGACAAACTCTTCTATCACGCTGCTTATCGACAGGCCTCCGCACGCCCCACGCGACCAGCTTCCAGGCGCAAACGCCACAACACGTACCCGAAGCATCTCCTCCGTCGGCGCCGCGTCCTTCTTCAGCGTCTCCAGCAGGCGTAGCGCATTCTCGGCCGGTTCGTTTGCGGCGACGCTCTTCGTGAGCGCCTTGATGCGCGACTCGAGCTCTCTCTGATCCATCGTGAACGGGGTGGAAGAGAACCGGAAAGGGACAAGGAGAGCGACAAATAAAGGATAGGCGATGGAAGCCTGTTTTTGGTCCGGGCCGATGTTCTTCGTCTCGTATGCGCGCCCCGCTACCCCAGCGATATAGAAGGAGAGGAAAACACAAAAATGAAGGGAAGGGTCGAAGAAGTGAAATGCGCTTTGGGGGGGCGAAGAGGGAAGGTGGTGGTGGTGATACAAGCCGCGGCGCGCCTCGTCGAACAAACCGTTGGCTTGCGTGGTTGAAAATGCGGCCCGCTGGTTCCTGGCCGAGCTTTAGCCGGCACAATCCTAGACTATGGAGTAACTTGGGTTGTGTGGGGCGTCGGCTTGTGACGACTTGCCGGAGAGAAGCCTTGTAAGCTGGGGCTGTTAAAAAGTAGCTAGCCTGGGATATGATACTAGCAAACCACGCAAAGCTGTTAATAAAAATATCTGTTTATTATACATGAATTCGTTTATCAGTTCTTTTTCCAAGATATAGTGTGAACCAGCGCTTCAGGGCTAAAGATGGCCGTTAGTTTGTTACAGGGCGGGATGCTAATAAGGCGAGCGTATGCGTCACTCCTCCCCACTCGCCATGCATTATCGAACACCTCCGTACAATTACTACAATGCTTTCCAAAATTTACCTCTTCTGTCGTTTAATGGTCGACTCAGCAGCCCCTCCTCGCTCCTCTCCTGCCGTGTTCTTCTTCAACCTATCCACCGCCGCCGCCATTCTCTTGCTCGCACCTGCCGTCTTGCGCGGCGCAAACGCCTCCTCCCGCGCTCCCGCACCCACGGCGCCGCCAAAGAACCGCGTGATGTTGCTCTGCGTGCCCTCGATCTCGCGCTTATTCATGTCGCGAATCACCGGCACCAGCACCTCGTCCGTGCGCTCCTTGCTCCACCCGATCGTCGCCGTCAGGAAGCGCCGCAGGCCCTCCACGTCAGGCACGCCCCACCGGAACGGCTCCGTGCTGCTGTCCACCTCCGGCCGCAGGTACGCCTCGTCGACGGCGCGGTTGGGGAAGCCGGGCGGCAGAAAGAGCTTCGCGGCCTGCGACCGGCGGAACTTTTTGCGAAACGCCGAGCCGGCGTCCTCCACGCCGGTGGGCCGGGGCTGTGACTGCACCGTCTCCCACCAGGAGCGAAAGTCACAAAGGCCGTCCTCGCCGGGGAACTCGGATATGATTTCTACGGCGGTGACGGGGCCGACGCCCGGCAGGCCTTCGGTGTAGTCGGATCCGAGGAGGTGCGCTAGGGAGATGAGCTGCTGTCGCGACAGGGAGAGGTCCTTTTCCAGCTCGCTTCCGAGGTAGCACTCGACAAACTTGTTGCTGTTGAACATGTTTTTGTAGACACGAGTGCCTCCAAACAGGAACGTATCCGAGTCATCGGTGACGATGCCGTCCACCATGCCCAGACGGACAAGCTCAGCACACTGCGCTTCGGCTTCCATGGGCGCCGTGATGTACGGGATGCCAAACAGACGCAGCAGTGATTGACACTCGGATATCATTACCTGAGTAACTTCGTCTGCATCTCGGCGGTCCTTCTTCTGCTGGGTACGCAGCTGCCGGAGCTCATTTTCGTAGTCGCGACGGTTTTGTTCCATAGACTTCTGGTTGAGCTCGCTAGCGAAGCGGGCATGCTCCTCAGCCTCTTCCGCCATTTGAACCAAAAGCTCTTCTTCCTCCGGGTCACTATACTCATGCTCCTCGGCGCCGTTAAACAGTTCGTCGTCGTCAATTTGAGTGGCGTTCACATCTTGGTTAACAGACGGGTCCTCAACTGGGCCTTCCGGCTCAGGAGCCGCATTCTCTTCCGCAACCTGGGGAAGTTCAATGTCTTCAAACTCCGGCTCAGGAGACTCTGCATCTTCTGGAGGTGTGGTTGCTTGCGTGAAATTAACAGGCCCAATCGCTTCAGAGAAGAGCGATTCCGTCATGGTAGACTGTAGTTGTGTCGACCGTTCCGCTCCGTGTTCGAGCTCAGGCTGTTCTGGTCCTTCTTGTATGCTCGCCGTCTGCGACTCCTCAGTCACCAGCCCCGGTGAAGGGGACAGCGGTACTTCAATGATCTCGATATCGCTGTCGCTGTCAGAGTCCGATTCAATCTCAATCAACCGATCTTGCATTTCCTTCCTTCTCCTTCGTCCCTCCTCTTCTGCATTCTCTCTGTCCTGGGCATTAATCTCTCGCTCGGCAGCCTGCTGCTTCTTCAGCGAATCTCTAATGTCCGACTCATCGGCCAACCACGGCGGTAGCTCTGGCGCTTGGTCATCCTCCACCGTGAATCCACCTGCCAAATCATTTTCATCTCCCTCTTCAGCGACCTCAGCGACAGCAGCAGCAGAGGAGGGGACGCGCGCGGTCGTCTTTGCCGGCGCGTCAACGGCTTTTGATTTGCCGAACAGGGAGGATCCCCAGCTAAGTTTCGGGAACGGCAACGGGCCGTCAAATGGATTTTTCTTGTTCTCCATGATGGGACGCGGGGGCAGCACCGCCTGCTTTTTGGCCTTGAGAGACCGGGCCATTATGGCTTGCATGTCCTCGTCGCTGTCACTGTCGCCGTCTTGCGTCTCCGGCTTTTCTTGGCGCTTGGGTACAGCGGCGTTGGATCTGTTGTTCACAATGTGCGCAATCATGGAGCCGCTGTGGGCTGTTAGAGGCTTGGTAGCATCAACTGCCTTTTGCGTCCACTCGGGCTTGTCTCCGACGGGCACATCTTCGAACAAGTCATCCTCCGTCACCGAGTCTTCCCTTACACCATGCTGGCTCTGTAAGGACAGAGCAATAGCCCGGTTCAAGTCATCTTCCTCCTCGGGATGGATGCGCTCCATCTCCTCAACTTCATTCTCCATTGCAGGTGCTTCCCCTGATCCCCCGACAAAGAGTGACTCCTCTTCGTCATTAGACGCTTTGTTATGGCTCTCATAGAATTGTTGACGTTTTGAAGCAAGATCACGCGCAGCTTCGAGGCTGGCTGTAGTGGGATCGTGTTTGGGTAGGCGGTTCAGTCCTTCGATGGGCACATCCTCGAAACCTGCCCCTTCATCTTCTTCGTCGTCGTCCTCCTCTTTGGTTTGATACTGGACCGCTATGGCATCAACATCAATAGGCTTGTGGGCCTCGCCGATATCTTTTTCCTTGCTGACAACGCCCAGCGCCCAACCGCCTTCGGCTCCTTCATTCTTGACAAGAATGTACTCCCTGTCTTTTTCACCTGCGACGCGAGCATTCACGCCAAGCGTCAAGTCAAGACCGGTCATGCCCACTTCGTACATGAGCCGCTGTGTCAGGTGATTTCTCTCCTTGACGCGCTCAATCTGAAATCTTGAAAATGCCATGCGATCCGGAAACATGTCATCGAGTTGGTCCTTGCTCAACCCCATTCTCAGACGGCTTCGCAGTCTTGCGGCGTTAAGAATGTTGTATCGATCAGGTGGCGGGAGGCTCTTGAAGAACTCGCCGTCAAAGTCAATCTTGCTGAAGTCGTACAAGTTGATGTCTTCGCCGCTGTTGAACTGACGCGCGTACTCTTCCAATTCCTCAACGCTCATGATGCGGGGATCGTCGGGTTTGCCCATGGACGCAATGCCGCCCTCGAGCTCGGGAAGGTGATAGGCGTCCGTCTTGTGAAACTTTCGATTGCGGTGACGCTCCTGGTTGGACATGCCGACCTCATCCAGGTAGACCATGTCCTTGGGGTCGGGGGTCGGCTCTTCCGCGGCCGCCGGCTCCGCCTTCCTGCGTGTCCGCTCCGCCTCCTCGGCAACGCGCTGCATCTGCAAGGCCAGCAGCTTGCCGGCGGTGCGCGCGGCGTCATCGCGGCGGCCCTCGCGGCGACGCTGCCGCTTCTGTATGGTGGCGCGCTTGAGGGCCGGGGCGCCGCCGTCGAAGACGAAGACGGGCTGGATGCCGAACCAGAGCAGCTTGCAGATGCGGCGGAAGAAGCCGACGACGTGGGAGTTGCGCAACGCGTTGCCCTCCTTGTCGCGGACGGCCTTGAGGAACTGGTATATCCAGATCGAGGCGTCGACGGCGAGGCGCTTCCGGTTGAGCGTCGCCAGGTTCGTCGGTCGCGCGCACGGTTGTACTACGGTCCAGAGGCCGTTCACGCCCATGGCGGATAGCTAGGCGGGGCGCTGTGGCGGCCGACGTGTTGTCAAAAAGGCGAGAGGGCTTCCTTTCGAAAGATGAATTGCTTCACGTCATGGTTCGATGTATCTTTGACAAAGCTTTCGTCCCGAGCTTCGCTTCGACAGCAAGTTGGGTGGATTGAGGAAAAGCGCCGATTACCTTTTCGACGGCGCTTCGTTTGCAAGTGTGAACAAGTTCACGGTTGATGACGCATCTGTTGGCGGGCCCAAGCTTACCAGTCTCTCTACCTTATGTAACTATGTATGTATGTACTACAGGTGGAGCTCAGTGGACTCAGTGGGCAAGCCGCCCACCTCAAAGCGCCACCAGCATGCCGAAAAGCCACTATAACAATTGACTCTTTTCAACCAGATTCACAGAGCATTCCCCCCCGCCTGGTATCCGAACCTTGCTACGGCTGCGCCGGATCCCATGTCGAGTCACAATCCCAGACAACCGTAGACATGGACAAGGACGCGGCGCACGAGTACCTGTCGTCGCTGCTCAACCAGACCTTGAGGATCGTCACGACAGACGGCCGTCTGTTCCGCGGCCACTTCAAGTGCACCGACGCCGTATGTCGTCCTCTCTCCTCTTTCCCTCTTGTTCGTATCATCTACCCGCAGGGGCTGCTGACAACTTCTTCTCTCGCGACTCTAGGAAAGCAACGTTGTGCTGGCGCAAACGTACGAATACCGACCGCCGAGCGAGGAGGAGCAGGCTGCGGGTAGCAACGTGACGCTGGACATGACATCACGATACCTCGGTCTGGTCTGTGTCCCCGGCCACCGCATCACCAAAATGGAGGTTGAGCGCTTCGCGAGTCAAATGGGGCATCGGGATGGCCAGCATACCGTATAGACAGACTATCAAAGCTCCCTCATCATATCACATCTGTTAGGCGTCGACACAGCTCTGCGCTTCTCTCCTTTGCATAGTCCTTTTTGAAGTTTGTATTAAGCACTAAGAAAGAGTACATCTAATAGAAATCAACTACTTTACTAGCATATTGCAGCGTCAGATTTAGGCCTCGATTTGCCTCCTCAGGGGTATGCCTTCGACCGCTCTCGTTCTCCATAGACGCCCTTATTAGCTGCTACCGTGCCATTACAGAATAGCAAAACTGTAATCTCCAAAGAATCGCTAACCCTTTTCCGTCATATTACCCACTATCTTTGTATTTCGTTTTGGTTGTTTGTGTGTCTTTCTATCTTTCAGTGAACTAGCCAATTAGGCAGCGACCGCCTCCTGGGTGCGACCACGGTGCTCGCTGTTCAGGCCCGCATCAGAGTCGAGGTCTTCTTCTTCCTCCTCCTCGGAGTCCTCGCGCCAGGAGCCGTTGTCGAGGGGAGCGTCCTGCTTGGACAGATCGTGGCCCTCGCCACGGTTGCGGATGTTGTTGCGGCGGCGCTGAGACAGACCGCGGGAGCGGGTGGAAAGCTTAGAAGAGACGGCGGCGTTGGAGCTGACCCAGCTGGTGAGGGCATCCTCGCAGTCCTGGATGATGGCCTTGCTGGCCTCGTAGCCGTCGTAGGCGGCACGGGTCTCACCAGGGGTGACGGGGGTGTCGTCGATAAGCTCGAGGAGGTGCTTGCCGTAGCCAGCAATAATGGCCACCTTTTCGCAGTGCTCGCGGAGGGCGTCAAACTGGTAGGTGTAGGCAGCCTTGACCTTTTCGCGGGTGATGTTGGAGAGTTGCGCCTCGGCGACGAGAGACTCGGCCTCGGCACGGACGAGCTCCTGCTCGAGGACAACAATCCTGGGGGAGTTGGGCTCCTTGTACTTGAGCTGAGCGATCTGGTCGGTGATCTTCTGCTTGCGATCGCGGCTGGGCTGAACAGAGGCCTCAATGTTGCGGATGCTCTTCATGGTGATGCGGTACTGGTCATAGCGATCGACATACTGGTCCTCGAGCTCGCCAATCTCGTACAGTAGAACACCAAGCTTGTCGGTGACATCGGAAACGTCCTCGTCGGCGGCCTCACCCCAGACAGAGAGTTGTTGCTGGCGACATGTCAGAAAAGATGGATAGCGAAGCATCGAGTGGATGCGACCAAAGACTTACGGCGACGTCCATGCGCTCCTTGGCGACGGTCTCGAGACTGCGCATGACATTCTTCTCCATCTTGACGAGCTGAGAGAGCTTCTTAGCCAGGTCGGGGCCGAAAGCGCCACCAGCGTTGCGGCGGAGAGCATGGCCTGAGAATAGGACTGTTAGCTTCGCATGGTCCCAATCAAGAGAGGTTTTGCGGTCATCGAGCTCGGTCGCATCAAGAATGGCGTGACCGGGGTTGCTTGGAAAACTCACCGAGGCTACCCTTGCCGAAGAAGCGGCCGGACTTGGTGGAGGAAGGAGGGGGAGGAGGCGTCTATGAGATGTGGCGGTTAGATTTCCGGAGCCAACATAGAGGGCGATTGTTGGTCAGCGAGTGCGCACCTGAAGCTGCGAAGCAGTGGGAGCGCGCGACTGGCGCATAGAGTATGTGCGATGCATGATGGAAGGGGGTGGGTGGTGAGAGTTTCGATTTGGGTTGAAGCGAGGATGCTGTAGCGAAGAAGATAGAGGCTGGAGGTGCGATGCTGAATTGACGTGTGAATGACAAAGTATCAACAGGGGAGGATGATCGAAGCAGGTCGCAGGGACGGATGGGGCGGTGCGGATGGTTTTAAGAAGAGTGGGTGGTGGTGAGCTTTGGGTTGCTTGCAGTGACGAGGAAGAGGAGCACGGCCGTCTGGGCGGCAGCATGGTTTCCTCGGCTACGTCATCCTTTTTTGAAGTGGGTCGCCGGTCCAATCCTGCTTTTTTGGCTTTTTGGCTCTTTAGCGCAAGATGAGTTGGCGCTTCCACGACGAGCCTACAGGGAACTGGGCAACCACTGGAGGCCGAGGTGGTCAATGCTGCATTGACGACTTGGAACCGCCCCTCCCATCATCGAACCAACCAACCAACCAACCCACCTTGCTCTCACTGTATATCTCCCTCACCTTGGTGCGACACGCCCTCTAAAACCGTACCAGCCCCAGTTGCGAATCCGTCGTCTACCAAAACATTGGGGCAACTGCAGGGGGCACGTCGATTGAGCCCAATTGGCAAAGGCGTCTCCGATCCAAGAGCCCTGCCAATATCGAGCCGGAGATATGCGTAAAGGGGTCTTGTACTTACACGCCTAATAGCTAAGTTTAGAGGAAGGTAGTTACCAGTATCTGCCAACTAACTACCTACATAGCTACTAGAGAGCTTAAACTCTGCTCTGTACCGGCGCTTCAGGCCGTTGGCATCACGACTCACCAGTCCAATCTGGTCACCATGATCCATGACCGGCTCTCCAGCTCTCCAGCTCCTCCACCATCAGCCTATCCGGAGCCTCCCAGCAGCAACGGAAAGATTCATCGCCAGCCGTCATCGTCGCTCTTCCCTCGTGGGGCGCAACCCATTCCAAATGCGGCTGGGTCCGCTCCGAACACTCTCCGTGTTACGAATGCTACAGGCATGCATGCGGGGCTAAGTGAGTCGGACTAGGGTTAGGCACACTAGCACCCGAATAGGACAGAAAGTCACGTAATAGCTTAATAGATTATTTTAATAATCCAGTGAGCTAAGAGGATCATTAGGATCATAGGGTAAGCTAAGTAATCTAGGTATTATAGTAGAGGATAGGATAGATATATAAAGAAAGAAAGGGATTTCTAGTAAATAGTTATTAAACTACTTAATAATACTCTATATATTTAAACTAACTCTCTTCTTAAGAAATAGACTTACTTTAGCTTAAAGATTAAACTACTATTATAACTTATTTTTATATAAATAATACTTTTAATTATAGGTTTTACTAAAATTTATTAAAAGACTTTATATATAGACTCTAAATAGTTCTAGTATAATACTATAGTAACTCTAATACTAAAGTAGAGGTTTTTTACTAGAGTTTCGTTTTTTCTTTTTTTATTAAACTTATAGAAAGTCTAAATAGACTAGACTTAATTAGATGTGAGAGTTTAGGCTACAGCCCAGCTAGACTAATAGCCTGGTGGCCTGAGGTACGGGGCCGATAGGGGGGGGGGGACTCCCCCTTATGTATAGTAGCCACTTCGTCACAACCTCCCTGCCTCTTCCTCCATAAGAGATTCAATTTAACCTTATATTAACGCCTACTCATAGTAGCTATAGGGCCAGTCCTTAATAATTAAATCTCTTACTAGGTTTTTTTTTAGTTACTATAATAGAAGTAGGGTAGTCTTCTTAAGACACCCTAATAGACTATATTAAGCTAGTGTTACTAAATTAAACCCTACTTAAATAAAATAATAAACTATAAATAGAAATATAGCTTCTCTAAGAGTAACTCTTACTAACTGGCTCTTAGGGCTAGGGTGGATATATATAGCCGCCCCTATAGGCGACTATTAGTATTAAACTAGTATTAACTTATATAGCTATCTAATAGAAGCCCCTCCTATAGGGTAAAAAATTTAATAGAGATATAAAAACCTTTATAGGTTAGAAGTAAGTAATAGAGTATAAACTAGAAATTAATAAGGCCTTTATTAGCCTACTATAAGCCTAGTTTATATATATATAGTTAAGCCTTAGTCTAATTATATAATAAAAGGTTATAGTCTACTTTAAAGTAGGAGGCTACTAAGGGGAATTAGACCCTTATATATTCTTAAGTTATCTTAAAATAGTATTTAGTAACCTTTACTACTAGGAGCTAGTAATAATACGTCTTAGCTTAATAAAATAGTAAGAAAAGGAGTCTTTCTCCTACTACTATATACACTTTAAATAGGAATTAGTAATAGTAAGAGGGCTAGTATAAGTAGATAAAGTTAAACTAGATAAGCTCTAGCTTACTCTTTCTAATACTATAAGGAGCTTAATTATTAGTAGGCGGATCTCTTAGATAGATTATAATATAGTAGTATAAAATATCTAAATAATCTCTATAGACCTAGAATCCTTTTAGATTAAAGAGAACTATTAATTATAAACTAGTAAACTACTAACCTAATACTAAGTTAATACTAATAAGGATATAGTAATAATAGGAATTAGTGTATTCTACACCTATCTAGGGGCCCCTATAAAAGGGCTATAGTACTAGTTAGGGGAGTAAGAGAAGGCGCCCTAGGTGTCTAAGTTAGTATTACACTCCTAGAGGGAATTAGGGGCCTACCTTTAGTGTAGTTAAGATAGATATTATATTATAAAATACTACCTACTCTTAGTAAAATAACTAGATATATAATAATCTTAGGTTATAGTGATTACTAACTAAAGTAGTAACTTAGAGGCGGAAAATAATAACGTCTAGGGAAGTAGCTCCCCTTAGGTGATATAATAACACTTATAATATAGAAGTTAAATAATAAAAGGGGGGAAGGGAGCTAAGTATAGAAATAAATAAGAAAATGTATAAATATAAAACTATTCTTAGTACTAGGCATTATTAATATATTTACCCCCCTAGATATATTAATTAATACTAGTTATAAGTACTATAGAGTGATATAAGAGGGATTAGTAGACTTATTATAACTATAATAGGTCGCCCTCCCTTTACTAAGATAGATCTACCTTATAGTAAGGAATACACTACTTTTTACTATAGTAGAGGTAGTATAAACATATATTAATATAGACGGCTAGTGGTTCCCTATACTACTCTATATTATCCTAGCCCTCTCCCGCCTAGTGATCTTAAGGCTACTTTAGCTATAATAGTACTACTTAATTATTAATATAGAGGTAGGATATCTCTACCTAAGGAATAAGCCTAACTAGTGTATTTATATATAGTAATAATATAGCCTAATACTATACTCTACCCTACTTATAAAGAAGAGATTTTATAAGGCGTTAAAAGATAAATTCTATATAACTAGTGTTAAGGCGGAGGTAATAATAATAAGCCTATATAAGATTAATACTATACTATATTATACTCTAGTAAAAGAATAGTGCCTCCTAGAATAGTATAATAAGTTTAAGGACCTCTTTATAGAGGAAAAAGCAACTAGCCTACCCCTAATATAGTTAGGGTTTAATTATAATATAAAGCTTAAAATACATTTAGATAGTATACTAGAAGAGCTCCCCTATAGGAGACTATACTAGATGTCCTATGACTAGCTATTAGAAGTATATTAATAGCTTACTAGCCTACTTAATAAGGGGTAGATATAAGCTAGCTCCTCCCCTACTATAATACTAGTTCTCTTTATTAAAAAGCTAGTGGGTGGCTAGTGGTTTTATATAGACTATAGAGCCCTAAACACTATTATAGAAGATAACTAATACCCCCTACTATTAATAAAGGAGACACTCTATACTCTCTTAATAGTAAAATAGTATATAAAGGTTAATATTTATTTAGTCACCTTCTATAAACTCTAGATAAAGCTAGGGTAAGAGAAATATATAGTGTTTTATACCCACTTTAGTCTATTTAAGTGGCTTATATACCTATTTAGACTTTCTAAGGCCCTAGTAAGCTTTTAAAGATATATTAATAGTATACTAAGGGACACTTTAGATGATTTTATAATAGTATATCTTAATAATATCCTAATATATAGCTCTAGTAATAAGGCGGACTATAAAGTAAAAGTGAAATTAGTCCTATATTACTTAGAGAAAGCTAGGCTTTATATTAATATTAATAAGTATAAGTTCTCTATTTAGATAGTAAAATACCTAAGGTTTATTATTATAGTAAGTAAGTCTTTAAAACTAGACCTAGGTAAAGTGGCTATAATATAGGATTAGGAGTCTTTAATACGACTCATAGGTGTATAAAGCTTTTTAGGATTTATAAACTTCTACTATAAGTTTATCCCTTAATTCTCTATAGTAGTGGCCCCCCTTATACGGCTTATATAGAAGGGGGTATAGTTTATATAGGGAGAAGTAGAAGAATCTACCTTTTAATAACTTAAGACACTCTTCCTCTTAAAGCCGTATCTAACCCTTTAGGACCCTATAAGGGAATTAATAGTTAAAATAGACTACTCTAGAGTAGGCTTAGGAGACTACCTATTATAGATAGATAAGGATAGTATACTACACTTAGTAGCCTATTACTTAGTAAAACTATCTACTATAGAATAGAATTATACTATCTCTATAATAAGGAGCTCCTTATAGTTAGTAGTCTACCTTAAAGCCTAAGTAGTAGAACTCTAGGGTTAGCTTTCCCCCTTTATAATATTAATAGACTATAAAAACCTAGAATACTTTATAAAACCCTACCTCCTTTCTAAATAATAGACGTATTAGGCTAAGTTTCTTTTATAGTTTTACTACTACTTATACTACTACCTAGGCCCCCTTACCTAATAGCTAGACGCATTAAGCTAGTAGGAGATATATAGTGACTAGCTATAGAACCCCTCCTATATAATAGTCTAGTTAGTTAATATTATAGCTATTAGCTTTATAACCTAGTATAAAACACTACTAATACTATTCTAAGATAAGGAGCTAAGTGT